TAGTAACCGAGAGGCGCGGCGCAGTGTATACGATCCAGAAAGGAAACAAACAGAAGCGCGTGAATGCCAGTGAACTCTAAAGGTGGTTCCAAGTGCGCCAAGAGGGCGAGCCACAAACACTGATAAAGAAGACGGCTGTACGGAGATCAGAAAGGCTGAGAGAACGACTTGTTAAAGGGGGGACGAGTGTGGTGTGTGCTACTTATACGAACGATATAAGTAGTATAAGAATGGACGTGAAAGATGATGTCTTACGGTCAGAAGAGGAAAACGGAAAGCAAATAGAGCAAAAGCAAGAAAGATTTAGAGCACCGACAAGAAGTAAAGGAAGTAGCAGCAGGAATGGAGGAAGGCTGGAGCGTTGGAAGTCAGGACTCAAAGATGGTGTGCAAATGGAGTGTTCAATGTAATGTTATCGTTTTTAATTAACTAAGAGTGTAAATTTGCCTAATACAATCTATCGAGCCTGCCTCAGTCATCTCAGTATAACTAATTGTACCAGTCATTGTTTAAATGTACTTTTTGTTAATCACACTCTGTACACGCAAACTTTCTGTTTGTGTCGCTGCCGTTTCGGCTTTCCTGTCTCCTGATCACGAGGCTTCTTCAGGCCAGATGTAAATTTACTAAATATTAGAGTTATATGTAGCCTACAAATTTTGTCGGAATTATCTGCACTAGTGTATGTTCGTACTGATTTGATGTTTGGAAGTGCTCATAGAAATATTGATGAATATACTGTCTTTCATCCGTTATCATATTGTTCTAATTAGGCATATGAGATGGTGCTCTCTTTTGTGGTGTTTCTTCATTTAATCAATATCACTGTCCAGGTATGTGTGTAGGTGGCCAAAATCATTTACTAACACAAATGAAAAATGAATTAAACTTAAGATTCACAAAAGTATTTTGGAATGATAATATTTCTTTGCCAATAGACAAAACCAACTCGTTTATTTAATTAAATGGAATGTGGTTACTGGTGGTATGATAATGTGGTCGTTAATATTTATGGAAATAGATGAGGTCATCACATATCGACCATTTCTCATTATATTATGGCACTATACTGTCGAAAAGCAAAGTGCTTGCGTTATCTCTTGGTCCTAAAAATTGAAGAAAAACCGTATTGATTAACCATACGCTTCTAAATAAGTTCAGTAGTCATTTTCTTTAAGACTGGACTAGTCAGTACCTCTGTAGGTTTGTAGGACTCTGACAGATTATTCAGATAACGCAATTCAGTTGACAGTCGGTGTGTCCTTCAGTACCAATCACGGCGACCAGTCTATTGACGGTTACTTACTGATGGTTAAACGTATGTTTGTGTTAGGTTTAGAATGGCATTGCATGTCACTGTTTGGTGAAAGTGAATAAATGTAGACGAGATAGCTACTCAGTTGAAATTAGATGAATTTGGTCGAAATAGAGCTTTTGCAGTCTTCTCATTGTTTGTTGAATATATATAATGAGAATGGTTGATGCCAACATCCTGTCCAATCTAATCTACTGACACCTTACTCAAGTCCAGAATTTTCTGCACCAAACAAATCCGGTACTATTTATTAGTAGTTGTTCATCATAATTATCAAAATGAGGGTTAGTCCACCACCAGCTATAGCTCACTGCTGATCTTCTCAATAAATATGAGAACTCAGTTGTTACTACTTCACGATAGGTATACCCTGATTCAGCAGTCTGACACATCATATGTTCTATCTCGGAGACAGATAGGAACATGCTTCTTGAGTCCTAGTATTAGTCACTTTTCTCAACGGTCATGGACTATGAGTGATGTTGAACTGTATCTCGGACAACTGAAATCAGTGATGTAGTGAAAAGTAATGAAGGTGAACATCTTGTTATACTTAAAAAACGATTGTTCAGAAAGATGACATCAGATGAAAAGAAAACAGAAAAAAACAATAAAGAAGAATGAGTGACTCAGACAAATGACTGCACTTCAGTTGATCATATCATATCATACAAAAGATACGAGAGAATTTTTAATTTGTCAGGTCTTATTTTTGAATATACTCCACAAATATAAACATATATTTCCCGAGCATCGTATCTTCAATATTCGTTATCTGGATAAAGTTTACTAATCTATTCTCTTTACTCAAAGCTTTCTGCCTATTATTTACTCTATTCAGACATTTTACATTAAGCCGGTTTTTTTCAGCATATAAAATCCTCTTGACTACAGTTCATTTCTTTTTCAGCAATAAATCTTGTCACACTGAACTACACCTATTCAATTCTAATTTGATCGTCTAATGTCATATTGATTATTCGAAATCTCAGCAACATCATGGTTTGTTCCATTCAAAATGTTTCTTTAGATATATTTCTTCCAACTACTGTTACCCAGTTTGTCAAAATGTTTTTACTATCATCGACATTTTGAAAAATATTTTGTGATTGTACAGTATTGAAAACGAATTAAGCAAGTGGGAATTTTTACCGAACCTATCTTTTTTATAAAATGTTTCAAAGGTTATATGCTGTCAGTTTTGATAATTTTCATGAATTTTATCGCCCATGTAATCTGACTGAAATGCGAAGTCAGTAAGTGTGGAAGTACATTTGATTATGAGTAGGTGCATGGAAAACCTTGTCTTGAACAGTAGAAATAATAATGAAGTTTATTTGGGTTTCGGAACAAAGAGCGACGAGTTACTGTACGCAAATCTTTCTATTCGGACATGCCTTTGTTTGTCTTCTAAATATAGACAGTTCATTGAAATCATAGCGATCCACGGTTCTTTCACTATTTTAGAGTAGAGTGATGGGCTCATAAATTCCTCTACCTTTTCTCACTTGGTTGGAGAAATGTCTGCAAATCAACTGCTTGAGACGATCGCAGACATCTTTTATGCAAGAATCGGGAATGGCCACACTGTTAGCAACTATGTGGTCCTCAGGCAAAGACTAAAGAGCGTAGGCATACATTTGTCGCTTACTCGTAATGTGGCACGAACCAGACTTCTAGGTCGTGGAGAATGAAAGAGATAGGTCGAAAACGCATGATCTGTAACTAGGAGTCTGTAAGACTATCGTCAATTTTAAGTCTATCTAGCATTAAGAGGGTTGTTGGAAATGTAGTAGATATATTATAACATATTGATTTAGTAAGAACAACAACGATAAATATAGATAAATGAGTACAAATGAGTAACAGACTCTCCAGAATTGGTTTAAATTTGACAGGTTTACCAGCAATTGATGCGTGTCCAATATCATAACACACCAATATGGAGAGTTGTAGCTATGTACCGAAAAATAAGCATGTCAAATCCCATGCCAGCCAAAATTCGAAATCTAGTTGTGATCAGAGGGGGATGTTTATCTTTTGGTGATCTAGTGATATCGTTAAAACATGAAGATCACAACCAACGGCGTTGGTGAGGCAATGTTATCAATGTCCGTCTCACACGATGTGGAAGGTAACCTCTTTTAGTACAGATAAACATTGGAGTACAGTAAAACAACCACTGGTACAATCGGCTGTTTCTTCCTAGCACATCATTAAACTAGTCGGAATCGCATAATGACCACAATGAATAAGATGTAAAGCGTTTGCACGCGAGGTTTATTGGAATTTTCGTCATTGCTTCAGAAGTGAAGCACTTGCAATAAGACATCTGGTTGATAGTTGTCATATTGTAGACAAATCTGCATCGTTTCGAGTGATCTATCGTAAGCCTCCATCAATTACCAACGCAGTTTGATTCCGCCTCCTACACACAGCAGAAGCCATAGGAATTCGTGCATTCAACCCCAAATTATGTGTTCAGAAAACGTTTGTGACACCCCTATCTCGGATATGACGTAAATAACGATTTAATTTTTTTTATCATTTCTGGCTTAAAAATTTTATTTTGCTATTATTAGCATTAGTTTTCACAGCCTGTATTTGTTTTCCGTTTATATTCTTCACTATCTAATTGTGTACACACTTCTTATTATTTTATGGTTTTAATGTTTTTTCAACTCTATTTATCCACCTTTGACCTACTATTGACAGAAACTTTTGTTATCGTATTTTATAATTTTATCACTTCTATCAGTACACCTGTCTTCCATCTATCAACTTGTACTTTTGCCTATTATGTGTAGTGACGTAATTTTTTTCATTTCATTGTGATTATTGACTCAAATTGCCCTGATTGGTTTAACATTTACATATCAATATTGACGTTTATTAGATTAAAGCTTGATGACGGTCTTATCGAAAACAATATTGTTCGCTTATATGTGTTGTTTCAAATTCATTGAGTTGTAGAACTGATGAAACATACGTGGTTTTGCCTGTAATTGAACATAACTTGTGTGATGATGTAATATAAATGAGTTTGTTAAGAGTATTATTTGTACCAAAGTAAAGTAATGAGCGTTTGCTTCACCGACAAATTTTCCCGTCATATGTTAATACCGTGACGTACAGACTTCATTTTGATCATAAGTTGGTTGCTCACTAGGTTACGAAAATTCGGAAAGCCCATGTGTTTCAACATTCACCATATTGATGTCATTCGGGTGTGTACAGCAGACTGAGGTATCTAGGTGTACGTAACGTGGTGCCTTATTACCATTATGAAATTCCTGTTCTTCCGAAGACCAACTGCACTAGTGCTCACAGACTAAAGATGTGTTGAGAATACACTGAAACTCGCGCATCAGTTTCGGCAGACTAGGGCATAGAACTAGATTTCAGATGTAGAAATATGTTGAATACCGTTCAGAATTGTTGATGATGATTAGTAATATCACTTTCATTCCTCAAGACATCCATTCACGTTCAATTGAATAGTTCTGCGTGGAACATCGTGCACCCGGTTAGTGTTGTATCAGTACTTGGCATAAAATACTCACCGTCTTTTGCACGTTCCGTGTAATGTGAGCTCTACACTGTAGGATTGTGTACAAAAGAGTGGAAATCTAGCAGACTGCCTATGTTTTGTTGTATTTGTGCCTTGCCTCTTTAATGGTGTGCGATGACCAGTCTGGTTAGTCAAAAAGGATGAAAGATAACATAGATATTTAATTTCACGTTCACATATCACTCGGCTTTTAGAGTTGATAAGCAATTCATGTTGGCTTCATTGAGAAGAAAGTTTGTTCATCATCATAACATGTTTCAGTGTGACAATATGGTGTGCTGAACATGTTCAACTATCCTACCAGGTTGTCAAACACACTGTAACTTGAACTGAAATTGAGATGCGGAACTTAATTACTTACTTCAAAAAAGAGGAAGCTAGAATTATGTTAAGATGGGGAACTGGTTAAGTTGTCTGTGGTGAAAGATGAGAATTTACTTCACAGTACACGAACCACATGTTCACAGTTTTACTTCATGTGACGTAAGCTCACTTTTCGTTTCCTCCGTTAGCACTTGTACTTACTGACTACAGCTGCATATTCCTCGTATTTGTCATTTAGACAATCATTTTTCACAATCCTGCTTCATTCTACACGACGCTAAGAAAGACAACAATGAAATCGGTTGTGCAGATTTAAAAAAGAATATTTTCGAAATTGCTAATTCTCAATAAGTCAGCTTTTACAGTGATACATTTAGAAATGGTACATTTGCTTGAATGAATATGACAATATAAAATTATATTGTCATTTCGAAACGCTTTGTTACTATGTAGTATACAGAAGCTTATTTTTAGAAAAGCTGTAATGTAATTCTCAAACATACTGGTCTGATGTTTGCAAATGCTGATAGAATAATTGATTTTTATACTGTTGTTTTAATCTGTTATCATATTCTTACTAATTAGGCATATGAGATGATGCTCTTCATTGCAGTTTTTCTGCTTTCAATCAGTATCACTATCCAAATATGTCTGACGGTGGCCAATGATTGTAAATTAAACTCCACATATGTACATTGTAATCATAAAATATCATTATGTTAGATATCATAATCCTAAGTTAGACATGGCCATACCCTGACGTTGCAGACGTTGAAGTGAGCTTGCAAGGCATGACACTTCCAAAGCGATAGCGTACACCAAACAGGAGGCGGAGCGGCTATATATATTAACAGCCGTTTGCGAGTCATAGCTCCATTACTTGCCAAAAAGATAAGTTGTGTGAGGCGACACTGCAACTACCACTCCTTGGGTTTAGTCGAATTCTCTCAGCTTCAGATTTCCACACTCACTCACTAACATCTCAGTAAACAGGTTACAACTGACATAGATCGTTTCCAAATGCAACTTGGAACAACCATTAAAGTTTCGGACTGACTGAGCAGGTAAATAACGCCATGGATGGACTAATTATGGAAAATTCTCATACTTGTTTTATTCGCTAACAGATGGAGTGATAGAAGTGACTGGGAAACTAAAATCCCTAGCTCAGGAAAGTCTTCATCAACTTCAACTACCTATTACTACTCAAATTCCCTCTACTTAAAGGAGACATAAATCTCTTTGACCGAATGCAGAGATGAGAAACCAAATGGGTGATAGGGTTAAAAAATAAAATTTACGAAGATAAATTCTAGCACTTGGAGTTATTCCTCTCAAAGTACAGCGGAATCACAGGTGATCTGGTTGTGGCGAAATGTATTTTAAGTACGCTAAACCATACCAACGTGAGCATCATACCGATGACGCATCATCACCACTCCCCACCTCAGTGGACTGCTTTAAGAAGAGACGATAATTATGTACTCACATACAGATTATCATCTCCCTCCTGGACAAAATGTTCATGATGCATATCTTGAGACCTGTTCGTTGTTCTCATTGCCATCTCCTTGGATCACTTAATTAATCTAACCAGCCTATTATCTCTGTTTCCTCTCCCTTGCTTACTTCTCGGTCCTCTCTCGACTACCAATTCATAAACTAAATCATTTATATATTACTGAGTTCTGAAATTTTATTCATATTAGCATTAGAATTTTATCCTTAGTATCCTTATTACTCTTCACATTGCAATTAACTGATCTCCGGTCTGGTAATGTGACGGCTGCTGGTATCCAGAAACCCTACTGTCCTGAAACAAACGTTTTCATTTAAATCACGAGACATATAAAAACTCACAACCGACTGTCAACTGACTAGAATTAGACAGTCGAGTGGCTAAAACTCCATTCATTACACTCTACTAAACACCTGGAACCGAACCGAAAGAACAAGTGCAGAGTGCAAAGAAATCAATTGCTTTGTACCGGTTCGTGAGAAAGATATTGGATATTGGATGTGCATATTGCGTAACGCATTCAAAATCTTACTCTACCCACTTCCAGCTTCGACAGTCAGTTTATTTTGATTTGATGCTTGCATTATTTCTAGTTTCCATCACTTGCTTTATCTATTAAATGTAAGTGCATTCTATGTGCTTACTGAATTGTTGGTCCATCTTTTCTCTTGTTCTTTCCTCTTCTAGATAACCTCACACTCCCCAGCATACAAGGTACCTTTAGTTCAAACGCAAACCTACCAAAGGCTGAAGTTACACCTGCTCATATTTTCCTACACTATCTGGTAAGTTGTTGGTGTCATGAAAAAAGTAGCGTATTTATGTCAAGTTCAACTGCTTATAGGCAATGCACTTTATTACACATCGATTACTGTAATGACTACAAACAATAGCTAAGAAATGTATGGTGTCTATTTACTCACTAATGCTGATCATTAGTATTCATACTTCTGATATTCAAATTGTCATGATGTATGTAGACAGGATGAAAAATTATTTCATGTAGCAGAAATAAATCACTAGCACCTACATGTTTGAGAAGGACCTAGGTATATTTGTAATATGGATATTGGTATACCGTTTTTGTAAGGCAACGACTTCTAACAACCGAGTCATTGATTAGGTTGTTAAATCAATACCTTTCACAGAGCGTATGTAGTAAGCTGAACTCACGACGTTATATCTTTGCTACCCACCAGTCGTATGATTGAGTTGCACATCACGTATAAAAAAAGACAAAGTAAACTTTAATGAATTATGAGGTGTTCTGAGTCCTCCAGAACTTACTGGGATTGCTCTCGAGGAACTGAGGGCACGTCATTCAGCCTCGTCATGGATACAGAAGGCTGGAGTGGCTCCCGCCAACTTACATTGTGGCGCAGGCGAGATATCCGTGTGCTACCCAAAGGTGAAGTGTAATGCTCAGCAGCTTCCTCCGTTTGCTACATGGGTGTGAATCTTCGCCAATCCTCATCATAATTCATTGATAAACAGCAACGTAAAACTTTGCACGTAAGTACAGCAGTTCACGTTGCCATATCACATTCGACACATCAAATTGGTACGATGTAATTGCCAATTCAAATCCAATAGTATTAGAGGTAGTAAATGTACTAGCAGCAGTCGTGAAGGTTAGGGTTCGAATATGTCATTCAAGAAGTATAATTCAGTGAGGTAAGTTTAGGAAAAGTAAGATAGAGGTGATGATTGATTCAGGTTTGAATTTCATAGAACACAGAGCAAATGCACCTGCGCCATTGCAAGCGGTTTTGAGTCGTGTCACTCAGTGTCTCTAACCATCGGTTATTATCATCTCGCGGACCCGAACCAGGTAGTCGACACCTACCGACTCAGTCCACTTGTCAGTGACTCCATGGATTAGTGCCATGTTTTGGTCTGGCCGCCCCTAGCTTTCCAACCTCGACGAGGCTGTCGGTGATTGGGCACACATAATACATGCCCCTATAGCACCAATTGATGCAGTTTCACTATTTCGTCTGTTGATCTGCCATCCTTACCTAGCACCCGTTTCCTAATAATAGGATTGCTCACTCGGTTGTCCCATGATACTCGAGCAATGTTTCGGAGACACCGATGACCGATAGCCAGTAACCTACGAATATTTTCTACTTTGAATGACCATGTTTCACAGTCATATAATAGGACAGAGAGAACTGCTGAGCAGTCAGTCAGATGCAACGTAGAACTTTGCACATAAGTACATCAGTTCATGTTGCTATACCATATCAGCACAGAAATGTAATTGTCAATTCAAATCCAATAGTAGTAGAGGCAGTAAGGAAATTAGAAGTAATCGGAGAGGTTAGGGTTAGAAGATACTTTTCAAGAATTATGATTCAGTGAGAAAAGTTTAGAGAGTCGAAACTAGAGGTGTTGAAGAATCCAGAAGATTAGGATTTGAGAGAACACAGAGAATAAATGCACCTACGCCATTGCGAACGATTTTGAGCCATGTCATTCAAGGTCTCCAACCATCGATTATTATCATCTCGCGGACCCCAACCAGGTAGTCGACAATTACCGACATGGCTCAGTCCACTAGTCAATGACTTCATGGATTTGTGCCATGTTTTGGTTTGGCCGCCCCTAGCTTTCTTCCAACCTATTCCTACACTACAAAACAAAGCTCTTCGAGGCAGTCGGTGGTTCGGCATACGCAAGACATGTCCCAACCACCTCAACTGATGAAGTTTCACCACTTCATCTATTGCTCTCCCATCCTTACCTAGTACTCGTTTCCTAACGACAGCATTGCTCACTCGGTTGTCCCACGGTATACGAGCAATGCTTCGAAGACAACTATGATCGAAAACCAGTAACCTACGAATATCTTCGGCTTTGAATGGCCATGTTTCACAGCCATATAGGAGAACGGAGCGAACTGCTGCACAGTACACTCGTCCTTTGATTAGAGAACGGATATCACGCCTACGCCATAAGTGACGTAGGTTGGCAAAAGCCAATCGAGCCTTCTGTATCCGAGCTGAGATTTCGTCAGTCACCAGGCCATCGGCACTGATGAGACTCCCGAGATAAGGGAAGCGGTCTACACGTTCGACTACTTCACTCCCTATCACTAGTTCAGGTGTCGATGCAACCCAGTCTTGAAACAACATTTTTCATTTCGAGTGTAGGGAATCACATCCCGAACATGCTTGCATTGTTGCTCAGGGTAGTCAGAAGACTGCATTTTGTCAGCTCCTTCACCAAACAGAACTGTCATCAGCATATTCTTAGTCGATAAGCGAACCTCCTGGTCGAAAGTATTTCCTGAAAATTCAGACGAAGATAATGTTATATCTGGCAGCATGTCTATGAAAAATTGAACAAGAGTAAGAAAAGTGGACATCCCTGACCGACACCACTTGAAGTAAAGAAGTCCGATGACAGTTCGCTATAAGCTCTCACCCGACCCGTAGTTTTAAAGTAGAGAGCTTGTATAAGGTTAATGTACTTCTTTGGTACACCTTTCAATGACAGACACTGCCACAGAACCTCACGATCCACTGAGTCGAATGCCGCATTTAGGTCCAGGAACACAACTATTGTAGGACGCCTAAATGTGTGTCTTTGTTCCAGGACCTGTCGTAGTGTGTAGATGTGGTCTATACATCCACGTCCAGGTCGAAATCCAGCCTGGTTTTCTCGAGTCTGCTCTTCACGAGCTCTAGTTAGGCATCTAAGTATAATGGAGGCTAACTATTTAGATACTATATTAGTTAGACTTATTCCCCTGTGAATGTCACAAGAGGACTTTTTTCTTTTCTCATGCATTGGGACGATCAGGGATTGAGACCACTCGGATGTGATTACGTCCAGTTCTTAGAATATACCTGAGATTTCAGTCAATCTAGCTGCTGAAACTGGACCACCATCCTTAAACATCTCAGGAGTCAGTCCGTCGGGTCCTGCTGCCCTCTCGCTTCAGATTTCCTTTAGCCTTTTAAACTGCATAAAGATTCGAAGGATTTATGTCGGTTTCCCATCAAGGATGACTGGAGATCGTTGGTAACGGGATTGTAGCTGAAGTTCCGTTGAACTGATCCCTGAAGTGTTCTGCCCATTGATTTAATCTCCTGGACTGGGAATAAATTATAAGATCATTCTTTTCCGAGATAGTCTCATGCACATTCGGTTTCCTAATACCGGTTTGCTTGATGTGTCTGAACTGTTGCCAATCATTGCGCAGGCTTTTTATCAGCTTGTGCCTCGGCTGAATCCGCCTCATCGTGCTCAGAGCCAGGCGGAATGAGCTTCTGTGCATCCATCAGTTCGATAGAGGCTACTGAAATCTACGGTTTCTCCCTAACCTTATAGTTTACCTTACTAAAAGATATCACTACTGTTTCCACAGCCTTTGTGATATTATTCCAAGCTGCCACTGCGTGAGGCACCACTTACTACATGGCTGCCTAACTGTTTTTCTAGTTGTTCCTGAAATATATTCTTAGCTTTATTATCACTAAGTAGAGCCCTAACAGGTCTCCCTGCGATATTTTTCTTGCGTCCAGTAAGGCGCAAACAAATACTCGCTCGTGCTAGAGCATGGTCTGAGTCTAAACAAGTGCTCCAGAATGAGCGGCAGTCTTCAACAGAGCCTCTCCACCGATGGCTTATAGCGATGTGATCTAGTTGTGTCCATCGTTGGGTCGGCTTTGGGGGTCGCCAGGTCAAAGGGTGTTTTACCTTCTGCTTAAAGTTAGTGTTTGTTAGGAACAGGCGGTTATCTGAGCATAGTTGCTATTATCTGTTCTCTGAGCTGCGACACCATCAGATCCACCCAGGTGTCATTCCTTTTCGCTGAGTCTACCTACTTGAGCATTGGAGTCACTAGCCACTATTACTACATCATAGCGCTTAACATTTTGGGGAAGTTTAGAGAGGTTTCTATAAAACTTATCTTTCATGTCGTCTGAACTGCAGTCAGTGGGAGCGTAGGCAGATACGACGAAGAGGCGACGGCGAGTGACCCTATCCTTCCGAGTCCGTACCGTCCCGTTTAGTGGGACAGCGCATGAGCGACTGTCTATCGGAATCCAGTCTAAGAGAGCTAGTTCTGCCCTAGGACCTAATACTATACCTACACCGGCGAGGCCACGAGAAACACGAGGCGTAAACCTTGTTGTGTCTCTATCTGCACTAGGTGAGATCAAATTGATTATTTTACTCGGATCTTGGGTGCGTGTTTTGGAGACGCAGCAAAAAGCGACTTCACGGTATTCAAGCTAATGAAGCATGTTGACTTATTTGACACAAGGTTCGATCATTAAAATCTCCAATATGTAGTTTAAAGCGACGTTCCAGGAGACCAGGAATAACGTTTCGTGATTTCGAACCGTTGCTTGGGCGGCGCGAGGTGATAAACGATCGAAAGAAGGGTTAGGTGTAGAAACGATTTGATATTTACCAGTTTGGTCTCGTGGGTATGAGGTGGATGTAAGTTTACGGCTTCCCACACTGTGGAGAGTCTCTGATTGTCAGAAAGGGCATCGGCCTCGTGACTTTCGAAGGGGCTCGGCTTTCATCATGAGACCTCATAAATCTTCTGAACGAAGACCTGAATCCCAGAGCAGGATTTGAATCGTTTTTTCTTGTTTTTTTAGCAAGTTATTTTTTTGCAGGACAGGTCGCCATCACCAATCCAGACCCTCATCACTTTTCCAGGCTTGGGACCTGCAGTGGCCTCAGAGGGCTTACAGGCTGTGTTATGACTGTAGTTTAGCTGCTCACTCTCAACAAATCACAGAAAATATTACCATTGTGGTTCTTTTCAATGACGAATCTATATGGTTTGTAAAATACGCTTGGTAAGAGAAAGCTGCTGGTCTCTGCAGCTTTAGGAAGGTATTACTACATTATCACTTAAATTAAATTCGATATCATATTTTGGGATCTGAACCTAATTTCACTAAATTGACCACGGCTTCCATTCGTTTCGGTTTCCACCTAAAAATCCTCTTGTTATAAGCATAAAAGGTCCAACTTGACAAATATAGTTTCAAGGTTTTGATTTCCGTAATCATCCGATCCCTGATGGATGCTCGATAAAAGCGTATCGTAGAAGAACATTTCGAATCTACTTTATATGAAACTAGCCAGATTGTTTATCTTCGCCTCACCCTTCATCCTAATGTAGGTGGGTAAAAATAAAGCATCTTAGTAGTTAATGTTGGCTATTTCAATGAATCTATCAGTTGTAACTCCATAACTTGTACTATTATCACTTAGCTCTCTGAAACAAATCTGACTGTGGGATGTATTTATCTGCTTTTTATTTTCAGCTTCCAACTTGGATGGCAGATAGACTAACTGAATTACAAGACGCAATTAATTTACAGGCTGAGAACTTGTGCAACGCAATCGGTGTGATACAACAAGTCGCTCAACCCAGTTTCTTTTCCGAATTTAATTGGGCTTCGAGATCTGTTAAACCAGAATATCAGGCATTTGTCCAAGCTCAACCAACTGACGGTCAGTAATATATATATATATGTGACAAAGGTCTCCATCAAGGCTTAAAAATTCTTGTTTCTTCATAGTTCAGTAGAAATCTCACTGTAGGTTTTGTTATGTCGTCTGACCTCTGGCCAAGTATCATGGGCTCAGATACCAATCAGGATCTTGATTCTCATTTGGTCTGCTATTTACTCTATAGCTTAGTGTCTCTGACTTGGTCAATTACACATCCGATTAGCACTATCGGCATATGACTGGCAGCTAGGTCCTTATTGGTTCACTTTTCGCCAGCTCCTTTTTAGACTCAATCTTTGGGTCCTGAAAAAATGGCAGCTAGTCGCTATTTATATTCCGAACAGACGTTTATATACAGACAGACCAGACCATATCACACCATAAAATAGAGAAATGTGAATTTCTCATGAACAAGCCAAAAAGTGGCTGTGAATAGAAAAAGCTGTATATAGTAAACTGGCGACAATTTAGAAGTGGTAAATAACATAACAGTAATCATTAAGTCAACGGAAATTTTAGGATGGAAGAAACACACATACATAGCAAGTAATCTAGTCAGTGTTATACAACAAAACTAGAATTAATAATAATCCAAATAACTAGTCCCAGTTTCTGCAATATTTGTTTCTTTATAACAGTTTATTCGATGGAGTTTTGCTTTTTTAAGTTTCCGATTTCAACACAAGTCTGAATTTAAATACATCCAACATAGTGAGTACATTTTTTATCCTCAGTACTAATTGTTGGATTCTAATGTTTAGCTTCAACTTTCATTCACTTGATATCCATAAATCTCAGTTACTGCTTATATTTGGCCTCGATTAGTAGTAGTTCCGTTATAGCAGTTTCTCGATGGCGTAGAAATCTCATACCAAATTTCAACACTTCACTAGTTTGTGAAGTGTGTATTCTGGACGTCTGTAAACTACACTAACACTTTGTCCTCCCATTGTTTTTCAAGTGTTACAGATATCCACAAGACTAATATAATGCTAACTGGCCTTCCACGGTGTGGGCAGCCGAAAAGTGACATCTGCCCTCATACCCGTAACAGCACGCGAAACCATATCGGTCACAAACAAATCCGTCCTACTTTTCCTAACATCTCTCCTATCTCAATCGCTGCCACTGTTGGATTCAAACATACGGTTGCGTCTTTGTACTGATGTGGTATGGCAACCTGAACTGATGTACTTACGTACGAAGTTCTGCGTTATATCTGTCTGTTTGTCTGTAGTTCTCACACTTTCTGAAATCGCCTTTCTTTGGTATTTTGATGGGGTATCCTTCTTTCCAATTCGATGTTACATGTTCCTCATGCTGAATCTCGTTGAAGAGAATGTGAAATATTTCCGCAGTTGCTTCCATATGTGCTTCCATTGCCTCTGCTGGAATGTTGTCTGGTCCTGCTGTTTTGCCGCTCTTGATTTGTCTGATGGCCATGCAGATCTCTTCAATTGTAGGTGCGCCGCCACCGGTTTGGAGGTCTGTTGGTGTTGCTTCGATGTTGAGTGAGTTCAGTGGAGCTGGTCAATTCAAGAGTTCGTTAAATTGCTCTACCCGCGTTTTTCGCTGTTCTTCAGTGTTGCTGATTACTTTGGCCTCCTTCCTTTTCACTGGTCGTTCTGGTTTACGATAGTTCCCGGCGAGCTTCTTTGTTGTATCGTACAATTGTCTCAAGTTTCCGTCTCTTGCAGCCTTTTCCGCCGTCATTGCTAGATCTTCCACATATTTTCGTTTGTCAGCCCTGATGCTCTTCTTCACTTCCCTGTTTGCTTCTGTGTATGCAGCTTGTGACTTAACTTTCTCTACTCTTGTTCGGCCGACATTGATTGCTGCCCTCTTGTTCCTCCTTTCTTCAATTTTTGCAAGAGTACCAACAGAGATCCAGTCTTTGTGATGGTGTTTCTTGTGACCCAGAACCTCGTGACATGTTGAAGTGATTGCCTCCTTGATCCCAATCCAATTGTTCTCCATGGTTGTTCGCTCTTCATTGAGTAGATCGTGCAAGGCCTTGAACCTATTGGTGAGGGCTATCTTGAATTCGTTGAGTTTTACGGTATCCCGAAGGAAGTCTGTATTCAACTTCTGTGATGTTGTCTGCCCTGTTGTTCAGTGCTTCTTTAGTTTCAGTTACATTTTCGCGACCAGCAAGTGGTGATTTGAGGCTATGTCAGCTCTCCTCTTTGTTCTCACATCCTCCATAGTCCTTCTGAACTTTCTGTTGATGCAGATATGGTGGATTTGTAACTGAGTAGTGTGATCCAGTTAAACCCATGTAGCTTTGCGTATACGTTTGTGTGGGAATACTGTGCTGCCGATGATCAGTTTATTGAAGGCGCATGGGTTTGTGAATCTCCCACCGTAATGGTTCTTTTTTCCTAGTCCATGTCGTCCCATGATGTGTTTATATCCGGTGTTACCCATTCCGACCTTGGCATTACCAGAGTATACCAGCAAATCTCCTGAAGCTAGTCTAGCTTGTTCAACTTGCGTCCAATGCGTTTCACTGATTCCAACCATCTCCAGGTTGTATCTGTTCATTTGTGCAACAACTTTGAATTGTCTTATTGTCTTCCACAATGTTCGAACGTTTCATGTACTTAAAAGAATGGTTGCTCTGATTGTCAGAAGAGGCATCGTGCTTGTGACTTCCGAAGAAGCTGGGCTTTCATCATAAGACGTCATAATTCTTCTGAAAGAAGACCTAACTCTCAGGTCAGAGTTAAAATGTGTTGAATTATGTTATCTGGTTAGCGTTTTTTAGCGAGTTAGTTTTTCTGTGGGGTAGGATTGCCAACTGTAGTGAAACGGCAATATTTATTAACAGTCTATGACATTGTTTGCAGTTACTTGTCTCATACGTGTCTCATACATTTACTGTTAATCTTACTCTTGCAAATCTATAAGTCCCAGCACCCTCATTATGATAGCTTGATATTTAATTTTTGATGTCAGCATTATTCAGAGTTTTGGTTTAGTAGTTCAAATAGTTGGCTTTTATGTATCAAGTTGTATTTTTAATCTTAACTATCCTAAAGTAATATGGAAATCCAGGAATCGTATCTGATTTGTGAACAATACGCTTCATTATTCTGTGAGAAATTTATTTAAGTATTCCCGAAAGACTGTGATTGATTTACTATTTTTGTTGGCTTTAGATATTGCACGGAGTTTCGCAGTTGCAATTTCCGCTACTGCAAAGCAACTGGATGCATTGATTGGAGCTCTGCCTGAGGAAGAAGCCAGTGCGGAAATTCAACGTGCTACTGTTCATAAGCTTTTAGAAGCTTATAGATCTGAAGGAGCGAAACTTGCACGTATTACAACTAAGCTTGAGTCAAGGTTGGCCGAAGTACGTCGCTGTTTAACAGCAATTGCTCAAACACAACTCACTACTCAATCATTAGAATCAGAGGTATTATGCAGTCCCTGTTATCTTTCACATTTGATGGGTTCTTAGTTTGCCACTCGATTAGTTTCATCATCATAGCCAGCTTGATGGTTTAGCTATTTTTCTTATTACTAGGGATAAATCATCTGTTGTCAACTTCATGAAATATATTGAAATACTACTATACGTTGCAGTTTAGCTAGAGATATACAATATGTTGTTGGTATAAATCTTACTGACACTCCTATTAACCATATTTATCGTAGATTTATCACAACTTGACACAAAAATTAAACCCCCTTTATTCTCGTATACCTCATGTATATAGGTCCCACTCACAAACACAACCCCTAGGCCGGTTTAGTGGTCTATAAGTCCGTGTTTTTCACGTGTGACTGAAGGTCTTGGGTTCGATTCTCAGTTGTGGGGTCTTAATTCATTTTACGAAGCGCTTACTCGTTCGTCTGTGTTTAATATGTTGGATATCTTGCTGAATCTCAATCAATTTCACACATTTATAGGTTATTGTTCCCCTTACAAATAATCAGGTGAAAATATATATGGGATATATTAACGAATTATTTCAAATTGTAGTAACTTACTTGGGCACTAAGTACAATCACAGAGAGAATAGAATTTCTAGAAGGCGAAAATCAAAGTTGTCCAAGTGATTGTAATATCAATAATCACGAAAAGCTACTAAGAATTAAATGTAATTTGAAAAATTCCTCAAAGGTAATCGGCAAGTAGAATTTCAAGACTGAAAAGCAGAACAAAATCATTATAAACGTATGTGCCATTATAACTGATGCTATGTAATAAATGTTCGAAGGCATCTCACCATTTCCCACTCATTATAGTTCACAAACTTTTCATCATCACTGGTTCCACCAGAATAATTAGTCAAAGGTCTTTGAGTAGTTTGGAAATGTCATGGTTGTGAAAAAGGCGTGTGTGTGTGTGAGCAATGCTGCCATTAGGAATCGAGTTCTAGGTAAGGATGGCAGATCAATAGACGAAGTATTGAAACTGCATCAGTTGAGGTGGTTGAGACATGTATGACGTATGACTGAACACCGACTGCCGCGACGAGCTATGTTTTGTGGTATAGGAGTAGGTTAGAAGAAAGCTAGCGGCGGCCAAACCAAAACATGGCACAAATCCATGAATTCACTGACATCTGGACTTAATCATGTTGGTAGATATAGACTACCCGGTTGGGGTCCGCGAGACGAAAGACACCAATGGTTAGAGACCTTGAACGACATGGCTCAAAATCGTTTACAATGGCGCAGGTGCATCCACTCTTTGTGTTCTCCCTAATTCTAACCTTCTGAATTCCTCATAATCTCCATTTTTCTCCTTCTAAATTTACCTCACTGAATTATACTTCTCGAATCATATATTCGCTCCCTAATTTTCTCCATTACTGCTAATATTTCTACTATCGCAATCACTCTTGGATTTGAATTGACAGTTGCGTCTTTGTACTGATGTGGTATGGCAACCTGAACTGATGTACTTACGTACGAAGTTCTGCGTTGCATCTGACTGACTGACCATAGAGTACAAAGACGCAACTGTCAATTCAAATCCAAGAGTAATTGCGATAGTAGAAATATTAGCAGTAATGGAGAAAATTAGGGAGCGAATATATGATTCGAGAAGTATAATTCAGTGAGGTAAATTTAGAAGGAGAAAAATGGAGATTATGAGGAATTCAGAAGGTTAGAATTAGGGAGAACACAAAGAGTGGATGCACCTGCGCCATTGTAAACGATTTTGAGCCATGTCGTTCAAGGTCTCTAACCATTGGTGTCTTTCGTCTCGCGGACCCCAACCGGGTAGTCTATATCTACCAACATGATTAAGTCCAGATGTCAGTGAATTCATGGATTTGTGCCATGTTTTGGTTTGGCCGCCGCTAGCTTTCTTCTAACCTACTCCTATACCACAAAACATAGCTCGTCGCGGCAGTCGGTGTTCAGTCATACGTCATACATGTCTCAACCACCTCAACTGATGCAGTTTCAATACTTCGTCTATTGATCTGCCATCCTTACCTAGAACTCGATTCCTAACGACAGCATTGCTTATACATTTGTCTCAGGATGCACGAGCAGGGGTTAATCTTCGTTACAGAATACTTATTGATCGTTCGTTATAAGTATGTGAAGCGAACTGAGGATGTGTTGTGTTGAACAAAGCAGACATTTAACTCACTATCCAGTTAACTTAGCTGATTGACGTGAAAATTTTTTTAATACCCAGAACTTATGTTCATTCATCGTTGTTTGATTTGTTGGTTAGTATTGGTCCTATTAAATTAGTGCTTCCTATTTTTGTGTCCACTTGATATTTACTGAACGATTTGGATATATTATTCTAGAACTGTGTATAGTTGTATAGTGTATAGTTGCTTAACTTCTGAGTTACAGGTTTTACGACCCGGTTTTCATACTTCAATTTTCCATTCAACCTATTGCATAACGTGAATCTCTGTATATCCATTTTTCTGTATAATAATCGTATTCAAAGGCTTAAATGATGATTTCCTTATCGAATTATTATCATATCGTGACTGCATTCTTTTATGTTTCACTATAACCTATTCCAGGTATGACATATACAAATGACCAACTTTTCTAGAACTTTGCCAATGTTTATTTGTTTACTATTTCAACAGGTGTATAGAGAATTCTATGGAAGCTAATTCTAACCCGTCGTTCGACAGTAATTCGAGTTATGAGGCTCCTGAATACATATATTCATCATTGTCGTCACAGCCACCTATTTCCTGGATCACCTATTTAACTGTTGTATTCCTCTTTATTTTATTTTCTCGACTATGCTTCGCATTCGGTATTGTGGATAGATTACATGTTCTTGTTAATTTTATTTTGACAATATCCACACCATCTGGTCGTAAACAGCGAGCATTACGCGCCAAGTGTATTGAAGATCTAGGAAATTTACGATCCCAATTGAAAAGTATACATATGGTGGATGAGTTTGCTACCTATTCAAAAGTAGAACGAAAGATAAAATTATTGGAACGTCAATTAGATTCCTTAGCCCCTGAAACTCTTGTTGGATCAGTAAGTCATTTATTTTTTATTGATTTATTTAAGTTTGTCTACTATTTACTCAGCGATCATTATAAGGCAGATACAATTTGATACAGTAGGTCAATGAAAGATTGCCAAATGATAAATGTAATTAGCAAAGAAATAGCTTTGTTTTTCAATGGATGAGGTATGAATCACTGATGGGTTTAATTACCTGAGAAATAGATAAATGTATGACTGAGCCCACACACGATTGATTCGGTTTAATCGAATAAACTTGTTTCTTCACTCCGTTTTTTTCAAGCCTGCGGGGTTGTGTTTAGAACGAGTGTGTAGTAGTGTCGAATCTCATACCGCGCATCACAAGATTCACAATGTTTCTCTAAATACATTTAACTGTTGAACACTTGTCTCAAATCATTTTATTACTGCTTGAACAATCCCGTGAACATATTAACGGAAAAAACTAAACTAGTTGATCTATCTAGAAATTAGAATGATATATTAGTTAGACTTATTCCCCTGTGAATGTCACAAGAGGACTTTTTTCTTTTCTCATGAATTGGGACGATCAGGGATTGAGACCACTCGGATGTGATTACGTCCAGTTCCTAGAATATACCTGAGATTTCAGTCAATCTAGCTGCTGAAACTGGACCACCATCCTTAAACATCTCAGGAGTCAGTCCGTCGGGTCCTGCTGCCCTCTCGCTTCAGATTTCCTTTAGCCTTTTAAACTGCATAAAGATTCGAAGGATTTATGTCGGTTTCCCATCAAGGATGACTGGAGATCGTTGGTAACGGGATTGTAGCTGAAGTTCCGTTGAACTGATCCCTGAAGTGTTCTGCCCATTGATTTAATCTCCTGGACTGGGAATAAATTATAAGATCATTCTTTTCCGAGATAGTCTCATGCACATTCGGTTTCCTAATACCGGTTTGCTTGATGTGTCTGAACTGTTGCCAATCATTGCGCAGGCTTTTTATCAGCTTGTGCCTCGGCTGAATCCGCCTCATCGTGCTCAGAGCCAGGCGGAATGAGCTTCTGTGCATCCATCAGTTCGATAGAGGCTACTGAAATCTACGGTTTCTCCCTAACCTTATAGTTTACCTTACTAAAAGATATCACTACTGTTTCCACAGCCTTTGTGATATTATTCCAAGCTGCCACTGCGTGAGGCACCACTTACTACATGGCTGCCTAACTGTTTTTCTAGTTGTTCCTGAAATATATTCTTAGCTTTATTATCACTAAGTAGAGCCCTAACAGGTCTCCCTGCGATATTTTTCTTGCGTCCAGTAAGGCGCAAACAAATACTCGCTCGTGCTAGAGCATGGTCTGAGTCTAAACAAGTGCTCCAGAATGAGCGGCAGTCTTCAACAGAGCCTCTCCACCGATGGCTTATAGCGATGTGATCTAGTTGTGTCCATCGTTGGGTCGGCTTTGGGGGTCGCCAGGTCAAAGGGTGTTTTACCTTCTGCTTAAAGTTAGTGTTTGTTAGGAACAGGCGGTTATCTGAGCATAGTTGCTATTATCTGTTCTCTGAGCTGCGACACCATCAGATCCACCCAGGTGTCATTCCTTTTCGCTGAGTCTACCTACTTGAGCATTGGAGTCACTAGCCACTATTACTACATCATAGCGCTTAACATTTTGGGGAAGTTTAGAGAGGTTTCTATAAAACTTATCTTTCATGTCGTCTGAACTGCAGTCAGTGGGAGCGTAGGCAGATACGACGAAGAGGCGACGGCGAGTGACCCTATCCTTCCGAGTCCGTACCGTCCCGTTTAGTGGGACAGCGCATGAGCGACTGTCTATCGGAATCCAGTCTAAGAGAGCTAGTTCTGCCCTAGGACCTAATACTATACCTACACCGGCGAGGCCACGAGAAACACGAGGCGTAAACCTTGTTGTGTCTCTATCTGCACTAGGTGAGATCAAATTGATTATTTTACTCGGATCTTGGGTGCGTGTTTTGGAGACGCAGCAAAAAGCGACTTCACGGTATTCCAGAGTTCAAGCTAATGAAGCCTGTTGGCTTATTCAAAATCTCCGATATTGCTAATACCTTTACTTCCTCAACTACAGTGCGACTTCAACTGACAGTTGCATCTTTCTGTGCTTATGCAACCTGAATTGATGTACGTACGAAGGTCAGCATTTTAACTGATTTATCCATATACCATCGGTTATTATGTTTTTTTCTCATTGGCTTGAAACTCTCTGAAAGTTCATTATGTTTATTTCAATCTGATCTTTTCTGTACTGTTGCACATTGATATGCTTAATTATTTTATGTTTATATTTCATTCATTTTTCTATAGATGATTCGTCAATTCAGCATCTATGTTGGGTTATATGCAATTGAAACTATGTCTGCAGCTTATCTAGTTTCGCTTTCTCCAGTGGAGACAATTTCACTGGAAACAATGCATTCTCTCATAAAAACTGATCATTCGATAAACGACATCATTATTTTCATATGTCAAGTAATATCTTATATACCTGCAAAGATTTTAGTGATATGTTGGATTATTTTATGTCGATTAACTGTTGGATCTGCAGTAACTAAATTGGCAAATAAATTACAACAACAACGGTCTAAAGACTGACAACCAAAACAGTACTCAGGCTTTAATTTTAATCACAGTGCAACGACTACAACATCCACTTACTCTGTATCTAATGCATCATCTCTAAATCACTAACAATCTTGGCATTCATAAACAAATACCCACATGGAAGAGAATTCTTTTATCAATAACAAAAACACCAGCAATATTCATTCCATTTATATTTTTTGATGTTTTTTGAGTAATGTAGTTATTTTCTGAAATCGTTTTGTATATTTTTTGAACAGCATATATATGTAAAATACTTGCCTTCTTTTCATGTTAAAAATGAACTACTATATTGGTAAGTGGATTCGACCAATCGGAATGAAGATGTCGGTTGTTGAGTTTGTGCGTGATTTTTAAAGCAGAATTGGATATCAGGTTTTTGACGAAATTTAGTATTTCAATTAATTAGGCTAATGATAGTTGTTAGATCACCTGCAAAATTCCAGACTATTAAAAAATACATCTTAGGTAGCTGTTGTCAGGAAATAACATACAGAGAAGGGACGGAGTTGGGGAATGAGATCATTTTAGGGGCATTTGGATAAGGAGTTTCAGATTTAGGATGTTTGAGGTTAGGAATGTGTTGGGGACGTTAGATCCCCAGAACTCACTAAGGAAACGTCCTAGTTTTGTAATCTCATTCTGAAAATTTTGAATTTCTATGCTTTCGCGCAGAGACGCTTAGTTGACCTTCAGTTAACGTTTCTCACTCGGGAAATCCTTGACTGTCATTGGTTGGTGGATTAATTTAGTACGCCGCTTTGTGGCCTCATTTAGGGCGTTTAATCATTGTATAAATAAGCTTGATTTGTGTGCTTAGCAACCTCGAATTTTCTGAGTGCTTGTAGAATACATTCTCTACGCTTTATCAATGCAAAGAAATTTCACCGTTTGGTGATGATTAATCATCTTGTGAGTGATTAACACTTTCCTTGTGCTTCTGTTAATTATCAAATGAGTATGGTCTGGTTAAATAATAATTAATGAATGGGTGCCTGTTGGGTTGGTGTCATCTGACCTATTGTTGCATAGATTTCATGTCATATTGATTTTGATTATCAAATGTTGATCTATGTGAAGAATCACTATACATTCATGTGTACAAATTTTCTTTCTGAATAGAAGCATGTATTCCTTGATTAAGATTGTTGCTGATGAAATATCTTGTATGTTTAAAGAGATTATGCGTTAGTCGTGTCTGTTGTATGGAAGTCATTTGCTTATTACTGCTTTTGTTCTGTGAAGCTTGTGTGATTGTAACGCAATGAAATGCATAGTTACTCATTCAGTAAAAAGATGAAGTATTGTAATGTGAATACGTGATGAGTAAATTTTGTCGATGATGGGATAATAATCGCTAACAATGTGCTCATTTTTAGACAATGAACACAAACTCCTATTTAGGAGGCTAATATATTATATTGAGGGTATTGTGAACATTGTACTGATGTTTATGGACACTTTCAGGAATTCATAAGAACTAAGTTACCTGTCATTTCATAAGTAAAGCATTTCTTATTTGCTAACAATATCTATATTTCTTACGGACATATGAATGGATAAGTCAAAATTTTATTCCCTCAGTGTTCAGTTAAATGAGGAAATATATATTCTTATTCAACCTTTGTAGTATTTGTAGAATCTTTTTTGAATGTTTTGTTTTTTGGAAAATCCCTCCATGTTTATATATATTTGTTATGACATGACGGACTCTTTCTGTTGACATTTTGGTATTTTATTTGATTCCAATTTGAGATTTTATCATTGTATATTGTTATTATTTCTATATTTTGTACTTATATTGGAGTTTTTATGTTTGCTTCTGAACTGTACATATGTTGTTTAAATTTGATATAATATGGCTACAGTCACATTTTTGGATTTGATATCGTGCAGTATACGAGTTCACCTAGTCTCCGGAACCTTGATACTCATTCAGAGTAATTTTGAATGGGAAGACGTAAAATTTGTTAGGTAACGTTTGTATTTCCATTTATTCTCTATTAATAGACCATTTTCTCCTAGAATTATTGTGTTTTGATATTCTAAATTGGAGAGTGCGTATAACATACGTCTATTGGAATCGAATTGAACCGCTACGGTAGAAAAAATCCAATTACAGTATTTACTTACAAATCCGTTTACGCTGATAAACTACTAAAAACTTTACTTTCTTCATATTCGATCTGAAATTATTCGATGCGAGCGAGATACTAGTGGGATTCACAGTTCCAATTAGTGAGTGGAATGTGCTGTCAATTTGTTTCCCTATGGTGGTATCACTGATGAAACGAACATTTGGGGCCTAATGCTCATATGATTTCAACTAGATTGCGTTGCGGTAACCTATTGTTGATTCTAGCTAAACAGCTTATATCGTAAACGTATCACACGTTGTATACGCTTAATTATTAGTTAGAGATTTTTAAAAAAGGGATAAGTGATAGCCTTAGTTAAATGGGAAAATTAGCCCAGTTTATCACTATAACTCAATTTTATATTTGCTAATCAGAACGTTTCGTTAAAGAAAGCCAATAATCGATCGCATTGTGACAGTGTTATGCTCGTCAGTTGATATGCTTGAATTATTACGAGTTCACCTTTGTCGGTAAAGCAGAGCTAATACAAGTGATCCATTGAGACGATAGGCTACTCTAATCCGGGCGTACCAAGGCCTTGCTAACGGTATCAAAAAGTCTTGATATGGCGTAGAAAGTTTATTCTTCAAGCACCGAGAAAATATGAGGTCTTGTACAGAAGAAGAAGAGAAGCATAAAACGCAAAGGTGTCAACGTCTGCCAACAAGTGTGATTTGCTTGGCGCATCGTAAAACCTTGCTTTTCCCTTTATTTATGTTGAGACCTACAGCTGCTGAGACTGCTGCTACACTGGTCGTTTTCTCTTGCATTTGTTGTCACGTATAAGATAGAAGAGCCATGACATCTGCGGAGTCCAGATCGTCCAGTTGCATCATAGCTGTTCACTGAATACCGTAATTTCCTCCAGATGCTGACGTCTTCATAATCCAGTCGATCACCACGAGCTACAGAAAGGGTGAGACTAGGCAACCTTGCTTGACACCGGTCTTCACCTCGAACGAGTCCTTGAGCTGTCCTCCGTGCACAATCTTGCAGTTCAGTCCACCATAAGAATTCCGTATGATGTTGATTATCTTCTCAGACACGCCATGGTGTCGAAGAATCCTCCATAGTGCCATCCTGACTACGTTGTCGAACGCCTTTTCGTAGTCAATGAGGTTGATGTAGAGAAGTGAGTTGCATTCAATTGATTGTTCCAAAATGATTCGTAATGTCGTCATTTGGTCAGTAGTACATGATCAATACTTACAAAATCCAGCCTGTCGATCTCGAAGTTGGGTGTCTACGAAGTCCTTCATTGTGTTTAACAATACCCTGGTGCTGAGAGAAGGGTGATGCCTCTGTAGTTCTCATACTTCCTGAGATCGCCTTTCTTTGGTATTTTGATGGGGTATCCTTCTTTCCAATTCGATGTTACATGTTCCTCATGCTGAATCTCGTTGAAGAGAATGTGAAATATTTTCTCAGTTGCTTCCATATGTGCTTCCATTGCCTCTGCTGGAATGTTGTCTGGTCCTGCTGTTTTGCCGCTCTTGATTTGTCTGATGGCCATGCAGATCTCTTCAATTGTAGGTGCGCCGCCACCGGTTTGGAGGTCTGTTGGTGTTGCTTCGATGTTGAGTGAGTTCAGTGGAGCTGGTCGATTCAAGAGGTCCCTGAGTTGCTAGATTGATTGTGTGTGTTTGAGGCATTTTCTTCATCATGGCCGGAGTATAGCAGCATCTCTCCTGAAGCTAGTTTCAGCTATCCAACTTGCGTCCAATGTTCAAACTTTCCGTGAACCTAAGAGTATGGTTGCTCTTGTTGTGAGGAGGAGCAGCAAACTGGACTCCACAAATATCATCCACGAGTCACAAATAGTCAAGTCTTGGATTTCTGAATTGGCTATGGCACAGATAACTGGAGCCGTTCAAGCGAAAATGGGATGCATTCTTCGAATAACATAGTATTTTACACGTCTTACACGTTCTTATTCAGAGGTATCAGTGATTCTCTGCCATTAAGCACTAAGTGAAAGCTTCTAGTTTGTCCACAATCACGCGAACTTTCGAACGTTCAAATACCAAACCAACAACAAGATTCTAATGGTACATGATCGCTCATATTATCCCACTGAAACTAAAAACATAATTATTATCCAGTAAAATATTGATATGAATTTTCAAATTTTTGTAAGAGGCAGCTAGCATTTCCCGGGTGCCTGGCTTGCTATACCACACGAATATAAGTTCTCTGCGTCTCATGGTTGCGAACTTGGAAAAGACAAAACTGAGGCGCTTCAGGCTTCAAACAGCATGAAGGACGATCTCTTTAGTGACGAAAGATGTTGAGAGAGCCGACATAGATCTGTGAGACAAGAACAGGGAGGTCAAAACAAGCGCATAACAATGACATTTGACCTCGGTCAACAGCGCATGGCACAAGAGGCGAAGATAATGGTCATGCCACGTAAATGCTCTACACAGGCGAAACACTTACAGGGTTCAGTTCCATGGAAACTGACTAACTCGGTTTAAAAAACGTCTCTGAAAATCCGACAACGACTGCTGCTGCCGGTGCATCAGGTGCTGAGACAAGCCTCTAAGTGCCTGTACAGCGACGTAAGAGATGAGGATTAAGCTGTAAGATTTCAGGAATATAAGCTCTCAGGTGGCTAGAGATCATAAGCCTAAATGAAACATGACTATACCCTGGCACTAAAGACGACGAAGTGATATTGCAAAGCTTGACACTCTTTCCATGCTATATAGTACACCAAACAGGTGGCGGAGTGGCTATACGTAATGACAGCCATTAAAAAGCCGATAGACCACTCGTCCCCAAACTAACCGAGTCGAAATATTATTGTGGTTTTGCTTCCGCACAAGTGGCATGAAACGCCTGACTGAAGTTATTAACGGCCCCTCACAGTTACTTAATCCCAGAAAGGCAAGCAGAGACAATCCTGCAACTGCCACAACTAGGGTTTGATGAGATACCTTCACCTGGGGATTTCAACACCCCATCTCTAAATCTAAGCGTTTATCTCTGATGGTTGCTGTGTAATGCATTCAAAATCTTACTCTACCCACTTCCAGTTTCGACAATCAGTTTATTTTGATTTGATGCTTGCATTATTTCTAGTTTCCATCACTTGCTTTATCTATTAAATGTAAGTGCATTCTATGTGCTTACTGAATTGTTGGTCCATCTTTTCTCTTGTTCTTTCCTCTTCTAGATAACCTCACACTCCCCAGCATACAAGGTACCTTTAGTTCAAACGCAAACCTACCAAAGGCTGAAGTTACACCTGCTCATATTTTCCTACACTATCTGGTAAGTTGTTGGTGTCATGAAAAAAGTAGCGTATTTATGTCAAGTTCAACTGCTTATAGGCAATGCACTTTATTACACATCGATTACTGTAATGACTACAAACAATAGCTAAGAAATGTATGGTGTCTATTTACTCACTAATGCTGATCATTAGTATTCATACTTCTGATATTCAAATTGTCATGATGTATGTAGACAGGATGAAAAATTATTTCATGTAGCAGAAATAAATCACTAGCACCTACATGTTTGAGAAGGACCTAGGTATATTTGTAATATGGATATTGGTATACCGTTTTTGTAAGGCAACGACTTCTAACAACCGAGTCATTGATTAGGTTGTTAAATCAATACCTTTCACAGAGCGTATGTAGTAAGCTGAACTCACGACGTTATATCTTTGCTACCCACCAGTCGTATGATTGAGTTGCACATCACGTATAAAAAAAGACAAAGTAAACTTTAATGAATTATGAGGTGTTCTGAGTCCTCCAGAACTTACTGGGATTGCTCTCGAGGAACTGAGGGCACGTCATTCAGCCTCGTCATGGATACAGAAGGCTGGAGTGGCTCACTAATGCTGATCATTAGTATTCATACTTCTGATTTTCAAATTGTCATGATGTATGTAGACAGGATAAAAAATTATTTCATGTAGCAGAAATAAATCACTAGCACCTACATGTTTGAGAAGTATCTAGGATCCAACTTATGCTTTTTTGCGAACTGAGTAGAGACAGAAGATCCAAAAACTGTGAGAAAGACGAAATAATACATATAGCATTTAAAATGTCAAAATCATTCTCAGCGAAAACTAATTTATCCGGTGTCAGTTGGCGAGGTTTGGCCGTAACTGGGTGTCCTCAGGTGACGATGTGGTTTAACACATAAATAATCACCTATAGAGTCTCCTCGGTTTAGTCACTTTGGGGAATTTATCAGATATATTATGAAATAAATAATAATGCAAAATACATATTGGTGATTCGTTACATATTTTTTGGATCATCAAAACTTTTGAATTATTATTGGATGGAGTATCGATTAACTCCAGCCTACGTGAATCGAATAACGATTGACTGAGCTGTAATGAATCGATACCATGTACAGCTATGGGAACAGTCATCGATTATTCAGGTTGATTGTTAGCTGTCATTTACCATAGGTAGGAAAGACAGAGCCATTAGCAGTGCGTGTCGCAGCTTGTGGCTTACTGCTGCCAAACGACACGAAATAACCTTAGGCACCTGTGGCCACCTATTACATAGCGTTAGTGCAAAAATCGTGCACGTAAAATAAACCAACAACCTGAAGAGACGGGGAGAAGACAGGTGAAAATGCAATGACCTGCACCTCGGAGTCTATTACTATAGCTATCCACCATTTCGAAACGTTGTTGCAAGTATAATATATATTAAAGGACATTATAAATAGTATTGCAACATGATAAAAATGGTGATAGATGAAAATGATACTCATCGTAATTGACTACTTTGGATGAAACATCAGCTCGCCAGTTGTAGTGACTCGAGTCGTGCCGAGAATGACTGCTGGCGACTTTGTGGTATCGAAAGAATACCGTAATCGTACCACAAAAGAGATGAGAAATTACGGAGACAGTGGAGCCAAAACGACAGCAACACAAACAGGAATTTTGAGCATACAGAGTTGGTATAAATAAAGACGTTCAGTAAAGCAATCACTGATACAATTGGATATATTAATGAACTCTTCTATTAAACCAATAGCGTTCTATTCATAAAAGAAGATCATTACAAGATGTTGTTCTGAGTCTTTCGAAACTTGCTGGGCTTGCTCTCAAATAACTGAGGGTATTTTATTTAGCCTAATTTAGTTGGTGAGTTAACACAAAATTCGACTCATCGTAAAAAGACCTCCAGCGGAGAGTGACAATTTAGTTGACAGGAAGTTACAGATTGACCGCTTCATATTTCAGATAGTTAGGAGCAAGTCTGTTACTGTATGTCCAAGTTTTAGGCGAAGTCAGATTGTTCTGTAACACTGGTCTTTCTGGTTGTTTACTTCTCAAAGCTTAACTTAAATGTTGAGCGATATTTTACAAGACATTTACTGAGGAACATTTGTATAGACTTAAGGAACATGGATCTAAGTTTTTACCACTGAGTGATTCACTAGGGTTTATTTTAGTATAAATGAAGATTTACCGTAACCTTCAGTGACTGGTTATTTGAATAAATCAGATGACATAGTTCTGCTTGGTGAAGACGCTGACACAATGCAGAGCCTTCTGACCACCTTAAGTAACAATGCAAGCATATTTGGGGTGCGATTCCATACCCTCAAAATGCAAAACGTTGCTTTAGGATTGTCTTGGATCGGCACTTAAATTCGTAATAGGGGGTGAAGTAGTTGAGCCTGGCTTGAGACATGGTATTTGCTAATATTGCCATTTCCTTAGATCATCAACTCAATTAATTTATCCGGCCTATTATCTTTGTTTCCTCTCCCTTGTTTAAACTACGATCCTCCCTCACAATCTTCACTACCAATTAACAAACTAAATTCATCTATATCTTACTGAGTTCTGAAATTTTATTCATATTAACATTAGAATTTTATCCTTAGTATCCTTATTACTCTTCACATTGCAATTAACTGATCTCCGGTCTGGTAATGTGACGGCTGCTGGTATCCAGAAACCCTACTGCCCTGAAACAAACGTTTTCATTTAAATCACGAGACATACAAACTCACAACCGACTGTCAACTGACTAGAATTAGACAGTCGAGTGGCTAAACCTCCATCTATTGGACATTACCGAACACCTGGAACCGTACCGAAAGAACAATAATCGAGCGCGAAAAGAAATCAAATTGGTTTACATTAGCTCGTGAAAAAGATATTGGATATTGGATATTGGAGGATCATTAGATTCTTGCGGCACTTCGCGACATGATTTCAGTTGTATGGTTGTTCGTTGTTTTTGTTATCAACGTCAGTGCCATATACGAAGACCAAGTTAACGTTCTGGATTGGTTTGTTTTCTTAGTTTTCTAAGCCTTTGTTCAAGGTACCAAAAGTTTACGGGGAAAATAAAATATTCCAAATTGAAATACGATGGAACTATTCCTAAGAACTGTTTTGTGGGTTCTGACCTCAACGTTATTAGTTCTATTAATTTAAAGGATGGATCTATTGGTTTGTTTTTGGTCACGTAATTGGTTGTAGTTTGGCGACAGGTTCTTGAGGAGGATGGTGCATTAATTGGTTTTGAGTTATGTGGCGATAGTAAGCCTTTACAAATTTGTGAGAAACATGTATTTAGGGTTGTTTTCTCTTTCTTCAAAGCATGGGACTAAGTTGCGTGCGTGGGACGTCAAGTTTGGTGGTGTTTTGTGGGAGGATTTGATAGATCCTTCTGAATCATCTAGGTAACATAAATACTTGTTGTTCATAACCGTCACAGTGGGGAAATTTGGTGTGATGAAAACTCTGAGGTTTTAGTTGCCGCTCACGACAAGGGAGTAGATGCTTATGTTATCCAAACAGGTGAAAAGCTATTATCTGACCGGAACATGTAAGTATATGAGATATGATCGCTTCAACATGTTCTCGTCAATTTTTGTCATTACTTTTTAAAGCTAACATCAAATGAGTAGAATCAGGGAATAATATCTTCGAGCATAGCAAACTTAACATAATTCGTCAACAATTTATGGATTTTCAAGACGCTAACGAGTTTAACTGGTTATGACGATTGACTTTCTCCAACGTACGTCGTATTACTAGGATGGGTATCTAGTTCAGATGAATTGAATGGTCTCATTAGTAAATTCCACGCAGAAATACCGATATGGAGCGGTTCTCGTCTAATTTCAAGGTGTGCTATGTGAAGCGGACATGAATCAGTAACGTTTTGGCAAAGCTATTATAATAAACACGAGAAATTGATTACGTGTCAGCAAGCATATGCAATCAGTGTGTCAGTTATGACGTAGAAATTCGTACGTACATAAGATCAGGTTGCCACATCAAATTGGTACGGAGATGTAATTGCCAATTCAAATCCAATAGTAGTAGAGGTAGTAAAGGTACTAGCAGTAATCGGAGAGAATAAGGTTCGAACATATTATTCAAGAAGTAGAATCTAGTCAAACAAATTTAAAAAGACAAAGATAGAAGTGACGAGGAATTCAGAAGGTTAGAATTTCATAGAGCACAAAGAATAAATGAACCTGCGCCATTGCAAGCGATTCTGAGCCATATCATTCAGGGTCTCTAACCATCAATTATTATCATCTCGAGGACCCCAACCAGGTAGTCGACAACTACCGACCTGACTTAGTCCGCTTGTCGATGACTTCATGAAATTCTGCCATCTTTTGGTCTGGCCGTCCCTAGCTTTCTTCCAATCTATTCCAACATCGCAAAACAGCTCTTCGAGGATGTCGGTGGTTAGGTATCTTAACATATTTGGTCTCGCGTGTTGTAACTGGTATGAGGGCATTAGTAACATATGTCCCAATCACCTCAACTGATGCAGTTTCAATATTTCATCTATTGATCTGCCATCCTTACCTAGTACCCGTTTCCTAATAACATTGCTCACTCGGTTGTCCCATGATACTTGAGCAATGCTTCGAAGACACCTATGATCGAAACCAGTAACCTACGAATACCTTCGGCTTTGAATGCCCATGTTTCACAGTCATATAGTAGGACAGAGAGAACTGCTGAGCAGTAGACTCGTCCTTTAGTTAGCAAACGGATATCTCGCCTACGCCATGAGTGACGCAACTTGGCAAAAGCCAATCGAGTTTTCTATATCCGTGCTGAAATGTCGTCAGTCACCAGGCCATCGGCACCGATGAAACTGCCGAGATAAGTGAAGCTGTTAACGCGCATAACTGCTTCACTCCCTATCACTAGTTCAGGTGCCGATGCAACCCAGTCTTGAAGCAACATTTTGCATTTCGAGTGTAGGGAATCACATCCCGAGCATGCTTGCATTGTTGCTCAGGGTAGTCAGAAGACTGCATTTTGTCAGCGTCCTCACCAAATAGAACTGTGTTATTGGCATGTTCTAAGTCTGCTCTTCACAAGCTATAATTAGGTGTCAGAGTATTATTGAGACTAACAATTTAGATACTATATTAGTTAAACTGATTACTTTTGTAAACTAGGACAATCAGTTGGATAGGATTATGCCCAGTTCCCAGATTCTAGCTAGGATCTCAGTCGACCTAACTGCTAAAACTGTACCACCATCCTTAAAAATCTCAGAGGTAAGCAGCCTGTCAGGCCCCTCTGCTCACCCTCGCTTCAGAGTTTGGAGGATTTGCAACAGTTGACCACTCAGATCGACTAGAGATCATGAGTAACCGAAGTGCGGCTGAAGGCCAGTTGAACTGTTCCCTGAAGTGTTCTGCCCATCGATCCAATCTCCTGGATTGAGGATGAATAATAAGACCATCCCTTTCCGAGATAGTTTCGCTAACAGATGAATTACCAGTATCAGATTCTTTGATGAGTCTAAATAGTTGTCTATTGTTGCCGATCGCCGCTGCCTTTTCCATCGCTTTTGCATAGACTTCTCCGCCTGCGCCTAAGCTGACTCCGCTCCTCATCGTACTCAGAGCCAAGCGAGATAAGTTTCCGAGTGTCTATCAGTTCTGCAGCGAGGACGAGCAGCAGGTCCTGATAGACTGACCCCTGAGATATTTAAGGATGGTGGTCCAGTTTTAGCAGCTAGATTGACTGAGATCTTAGGTAGAATCTGGGAACTGGACGCAATCCCATCCGGCTGGTCTCAATCACTGATTTTCCCAATCTATAAGAAAGGACAGAAGTCTTCTTGTGACAATCACAGAGGAATAAGTCTAACTAATATAGTATCTAAAATATTGGCCTCAATAATACTTCGACGCTTAACGAAAGCTCGTGAAGAGCAGACTAGAGAAAATCAGGCTGGTTTCAGACCTGGACGTGGATGAATAGACCACATCTTCACACTACGACGATTCCTGAAACACACACACATTTAGGCGTCCTACAATAGTTGCGTTCCTGGACCTAAAGGCGGCATTCAACTCAATGGATCGTGAGGTTCTGTGGCAGTGTCTTTCATTGAATGGTGTACCAAAGAAGTACATTAACCTTATACAAGCTCTCTACTCGAACATCACTGGTCGATTGAGAGCTTATGACGAACTGTCATCTGAATTCTCTACATCAAGTGGTGTCCGTCAAGGCTGTCCACTCTCTACATTATTGTTTAATTTTATCATAGACATGCTTGCAGATATAACCTTATCCTCGTCTGAATTTTCAGGAGTTGACCTTTTACCAGGAGGCTCGCTTGCTGATTTATAATATGCCGATGATATAGTCCTACTTGGTGAAGACGCTGACAAATGCAGTCTTCTGACCACTCTAAGCAACAATGCAAGCATGTTTGGGATGCGGTTCTCACCCTCGAAATGCAAAATCTTGCTTCAAGATTAGGACCGGCGGTAGGCACAAAGGAGCTCCACCTGGCGTTACACATTACTGTGTTTTTGTTGCCGTTGCTAGTTAAAGTATCTGAGATCTTTGCTATGAGTAATGTAATTTCACTAGACCTCTCTGTTACTGAACAATCCGTATTGTTATCGTTCTTTCCGTTTTTTTGTTCCAGCTCACATCTTTAAGTTATTAAAAGTATGCAGATTTGTATTCCGGTTATTTTGTATTGTTTTCTGATGTCGAAAAATCCCTAAAATATATCAGTTTTTATTTCGTCTCCTTTTGCGAATCTACAGCAATACTATTCATCTCACCAAGAATATTAAGGTTGTAGGTTGAACAATTTTTAAGTGCTTTCACTGAATCCCTTCGTCTAATTTTCGATCACTATCACAAGTTTTCCTTTGGTTCTAACGATTAGATAACTTTTCTGCGTACACGAAGATAAATTTCCATATTGTAACCACTTTCTCTGTTTATACTATTTTCATTTCATCCCTTCGAAACAATACTATCGTTTTTTTCTACATAGTAGTGGTCTTAAGGATAGTCTTTAACATGTCCGTGTTTTCCTAAATCCAAACATCCAAGTTAAACTTAATTTCATGTTAAAACGTCATAACAAGCCCATTTATCTTCTTACTCTTTGTAATGTTTTGTTTAATTGATTATTAATCCCCTGTAAAACTTTTCTTGGTTATTAACTTTGGTTTTTGGAATGCTTGTAGGAATTCAAATCATCCTGATGGAATAAATATAATTTCTGGAAAAACTGAATCTAATCTGACAATCTCAGTGGTTGAGAAATATTTGAACAAGGGTGATCATTGGGGTAGTGGTGCACCTGAATTATCTCATATTATCATCAAAACATATCCGATTTCAAGTTCTGGATTGCATTCAACCTCTATGGTAATAACGAACCATACGATTCAGTCATCTGTCCACAGCCACTACTCGTAAGCCAGTTTAGCCCCATTAACCATATATGTATATTTATCTATGAAACGGTACTGTTAATTTTGTTATTCTTAGGCAATAGTTATATGACTTATCTTCACCCAAAGAAAGTTATTACGTGCTTCTTAAGCCTATGTAATTTTTTCCTTTTCCCATTTTATAGGACTTCAAATTCAGTTATATATAGTACTATTATTATACAAACAATGTATTTATATCAGGTTTATATAGGTTGAGCATTGAAACTACCGTTTATATTCTATTGTACTAAAACAGTTAAGCCCCGGAGTTTCAATCCTCAAATTTATTGCTAGTAAGTTATATAATGAATCTTATCTCACAAAATTTAGACAAAGAATGCTGTTTGTTTGTTTGATAAAAATTCTTGTTTTGGTATCAATCCATTTTCTGTAGGTAATTCACAATGTACCTTTATCATATAGTATGTATATTTACAAAAACAACGATTTTAATTACATTCCAACTTTCTAGATGTCATATATTCGGGTTGCGTAACATTTCAACTGATGCTGTTGTTGTGTGTCTATCATCTGAGCGTGGTAAGAAAGGAAGCCTGCTCAGATTTTCGTCCGTTTCGTCATCAGTTTGGGATGCTGTCACAGTGAGAAGTGTAAGCCAACTTTTTTCACACTTTTCAACATAAAGTATGGAGTGAAGTTTCTTGTATACAAATAACTAGAATTATTTTTATTATTCCTAATTAGTATGTTTAAATTGTTTGCTTCTTTTATGTTATGTTTACGTGTGGTAAAGTGAATTTAGTAGAACAATTTCGTGCTACTTGTACATGAAGATTGATTTGACTATGAAGTAATACTACGTCAACTAGAGATTTGTATTTCACTTTGTATCTTATTATCCTTATCATCTTCGGCATTTTGGTTTGTTCTGTATAAATCAGTCGGGATAACTCAGTTACATTTGCCTTGCATTTATGGGTACCATTTGCGTTATACGTTAGTACATACTTTTTAGGCTCGCATTTTCCTTGAACTCCGATTGTCGTCTAATTTTCATGTTGATTTTTTCGGCTCCCTGTTAATATCAGGTGTGACAGTTTAAAGCGATACATGTTCGTCAGGTTCTGCTCTATTGTAAGCTTATTATCGTTGATATTAGTCAGTCATAAACAAAGTGGGGTTTGTAACAAATGTCCATTAGGTTATGTCATATCATATTGGGTCTAGGTAATTGTAACCGGTGGTTAGAGACTTTGAATGACATTGTTCATATATTTGTCAACACTTGTTGTGTTTTGTTTCTTTTGTGTACTCCAGACCAAAAATATGATTAAGCTAACGGATAATTATTTTCTGTTAACCTCTTCATCGCTGGAGTCTACCACTGGGGCTGTATATCATTTAAATTCCTCGAATGTTCCAGTAATAAAATACTTTGTAAATAATGTGAGTGATGGATGATAAAGTGCTTATTTTTTATTATTGACTTTTATTATGCTTAGATGAACACGATATTTCGTGTTTTGTAACTTGGCTCCTTAACTACATTTGAGCTTGTTTACGTTTAAACTTGGTCAAGCCGTTTTATTAACTCATTTAATAAACGTCATTCGAATAGCAACAATTTGTTTTTACCTCTGTGCTATTATTATTTTTGCGTTTGTATTAGCATTTATGCTTGAGCATTGGCTATGACCTACTCACATTTTTATTCTAATTATTCGTTTTTCGGCATTTGCATATTGTTTCGTTTCGCATACGTGTGGGTTTGTTATCGGTGTTGCACGATAATAAACGTCATAAACACCAAGTTTCGTCTTGGGGAGTTTTACTCCATTGAGTGTGAATAGTAATGGTTATCAGGACGAACAGTATACGCAGTTTGAGAATTATATCGAATATCCACTACCACACAACGTTTAATACACAGCAGTACTATAAGAAGCTATCATCAATAAAGTGAAAAATGTTTATATCTTAGAAGTAGGGTATTCAATTGTTAACAATTTATTTCATCAGAATATTGTGATAGCAAGGTTTTCATTTTTTTTAACAACCTGTATGTGTGGGCTGCAAAACTCCTTCGGTAGCGAGACCAAAACAAGTGTCACTCCTCGAGTCTTTGACCAAAAGGTCTAATCCAAAAAACAGCGGAGCAACGTTAGTTGATACAGTTCCATCGTAGCTGGTGACTAACAATAGGTTCATACATCATATCTTATCTGGACTCAGAATTTAGGTGGATATCTGTTAGCGTTTCAGTTTAAATCTCAGAGTGAATATAAACTCTGGGATGCAGATACATCCAGCAGGTGAGTCTCAAATAAGTTGAAACTCATCCTGGATTCTACTGCTCACCAACGACCTACTTTGCCTAAAACGTACTGCCTAATTTGTTTCATGAGAATAATTCCGCCTACTTACTTTATTATTATTTTTATTATATTAAAGGCTATGATTGGATGTCTGGGAACTTTAAATGACCGGTCCTATTTATTTACACTTCATCACAATTCAAGTCAGGTAATTATATCATTTTTCACCTCTTTAACTTGGTCATTAAATAGTTAAAATATTTTCAATGACTGGCTAAAACCACCTGCAAATAAGCTACAATGTTTAAAGTATTTGATGCTTTTATTCAGGAACCTTTATTTAGTTGTCTGTATAATTGATGTCATCTGAATACGTTCTTGTTGAATAGACTAACTGATATTATCTTCAACAAATATACTCGTCGTTATAATTAGACTGGTATGACAATAGTAAAAATCGTTACCTTATATTATTTACTAAAAGATATTTGCGAGAGATATATGTGTAGTTGTGCTATTTTTGTGACTCTCCCAAAGACGTCTGTTTGGTGTATAAATAAACGCGATTTGTGTGCTTGAGTTCATTGTGTTTGCTGGGTGTTTGTAAAATACACTTTCTACGCCATAGCAAGTCTTCGACAGTTTCTTTGGGTTTACGGATCAGAGTAGCCTACCTTGTTAGTGGTTCATTGTCTCGTTCTCTTTTATCACCTAAGGTGAACCCGTAATTATTTCAAGCATATCAAGGGACGAGGATAACAGTAGTCTAACTATAAGCTTACGATGTACTGTAGCTGATATTGACCGTTCTATTTCTGATGTCTTCGCATTATCTTATATTAATATAGGAATTCGCAGTAAATAAACTTTACAATTAGAGTGGTGCATACCTGGCGAATGATTTAATTAAATTTATAATGCGAATTTCAATACAGTCAGTCAGTCAGTTGCAACGTAGAACTTCGTACGTATGTACATAAGTTCATGTTGCCATACCACATTATTAGCACAGAGACGCAAATGTCAAATCAAATCCCATAGTGATAAAGATAGTAGAGGTATTAATGTTATAATAAAGAAGACTAGGGTTTAAGATATTATTCAAAAAATATAACTCAGTGAGATAAGGTTAGAAAGACAAAGGTAGAGGTGCTGGCTAATCCAGAAGATTAGGATTTGAGAGAGCTCAAAGAGTGGATGCACCTGCGCCATTGCAAACGATTTTGAGCCATGTCGTTCAAGGTCTCTAACCATTGATGACTTTCGTCTCGCGGACCCCAACCAGGTAGTCTACATCTACCAACATGACCCAGTCCACTTGTCAGTGACTTCATGGATTTGTGCCATGTTTTGGTCTGGCCGCCCCTAGCTTTCTTCCAACCTACTCCTACACCACAAAACATAGCTCGTCGAGGCAGTCGGTGTTTAGGCATACGTAACACATGTCCCAACCACCTTAACTGATGAAGTTTCACCACTTCATCGATTGATCTGCCATCCTTACCTAGTACTCGTTTCCTAACGACAGCATTGCTCACTCGGCTGTCCCACGATATACGAGCAATGCTTCTTAAACATCTATGATCGAATACTAGTAACCTACGAACATCTTCTACTCTTAACGGCCATGTTTCACAGCCATATAAGAGAACGGAACGAACTGCTGCGCAGTACACCCGCCCTTTGGTTAGCGAACGGATATCACGCCTACGCCATAAGTGACGCAACATGGCAAAAGCCAATCGAGCTTTCTGTATCCGAGCTGAGATTTCGTCAGTCACCAGACCGTCAGCACTGATGAGAATCCCAAGATAAGTGAAGTGATCTACACGCTCGACTACTTCACTCCCTATCACTAGTTCAGGTGCCGATGAAACCCAATCTTGAAGCAACATTTTGCATTTCGAGGGGGAAAACCGCATCCCGAACATGCTCGCATTGTTGCTTATGGTAGTCAGAAGACTCTGCATTTTGTCAGCGTCTTCACCGAATAGAACTATGTCATCGGCATATTCTAGATCAGTAAGCGACTTTCCTGGTAGAAGGTCAACCGCTGAAAAATCTGACGAGCCTCATGTTAACTCTAAGAGGATGTCTACGACAAAGTTGAACAAGAATGGAGAGAGTGGACAGCCCTGACGGACACCACTTGATGTAGAGAATTCAGATGACAGTTCGCCATATGCTCTCACTCGACCAGTGGTGTTCGAGTAGAGTGCTTGTATAAGGTTAATGTACTTCTTTGGTACACCTTTCAATGACAGACACTGCCACAGAACCTCACGATCCACTGAGTCGAATGCCGCCTTAAGGTCCAGGAACACGACTATTGTCGGACGTCTAAATGTGTGTCTGTGTTCCAGGACCTGTCGTAGTGTGAAGATGTGGTCTGTACAACCACGTCCAGGTCGAAAACCAGCCTGGTTTTTTTGAGTCTGCTCTTCACGAGCTCTAGTTAGACGTCGAAGTATTATTGAGGCCAATATTTTAGATACTATATTAGTTAGACTTATTCCCTTGTTATTGTCACAAGAAGACTTCTGTCCTTTCTTGTACATTGGGACAATTAGCGACTGAGACCAGTCAGATGGGATTACGTCCATTTCCAAGATTCTACCTAGGATCTCGGTCAGTTTAACCGTTAAAACTGGACCACCATCCTTAAACATCTCAGGGGTAAGCCTATCGGGACCTGCCGCTCTACCTCTCCTTAGATTTCCTATAGCTTTCTCAACTTCATGTAAACTGGGAGGACTTAAATCGATTTGACATTCAGGATGACTGGAGATCGTGGGCAACCGAAGAGTGGCTCGAGGCCAGTTGAACTGATCCCTAAAGTGTTCTGCCCATCGGTCCAGCCTCCTAGATTGAGAATGGATAATAAGACCATCCTTTTCCGAGATAGTCTCACTTACATTCGGGTTCCTAATACCGGTTTCTTTGATAAGGCGGAAAAGTTGTCTAGTGTTGCCTATCGCCGCTGCCTTTTCAATCGATTTTGCTTTCGCCACCCACCACTGTTCACGGTCGTTACGTAGGCTTTTTATAAGTCTGCGCCTAAGCTGACTACGCTCTTCATCATGTTCAGAGTCAGGTGGGATGCGTTTTCGAGCATCCATCAGTTCGGTGGATGCGACTGAAATCCACTGCTTCATCCTAGCATTGTGGTTTACCTTGCTAGCAGATACCATTGCTGTTTCCACAGCCTTCTTGATATGATTCCAACCGGCTTCAGGATGGGAATCACTTGCATGGCCGCCTAACTGTTTTTCTAGTTCCTCCTGAAATATTTTCTTAGCTTGATTATCATCAAGTAAAGCCCTAGGAGGCTTCCTTACGGTGTCTTTCCTACGTCCAGCAAGCCTCAAACAAATACGTGCTCGCACTAGAGCATGATCTGAATCTAAACATGTGCCCCAGAACGAGCGACAGTCCTCTATCGAACCCCTCCATCGGTGGCTGATGGCGATATGATCTAGTTGTGTCCAACGTTGAGACGACTTCGGGGGTCGCCAGGTCAAAAAGTGTTTTTCCTTATGCTTAAAATTAGTGTTTGCTAGAAATAGTTGGTTATCTGAGCACAGTTGCAACAGGCGGTCGCCATTGTCTGTTCTTTGAGCCGCGAGACCGTAACATCCACCTAGGTGTCTTTCATTTTCACTTAGTCTACCTACTTGTGCATTGAAGTCACCAGCCATTATAACTATATCAGAGCGCTTAACTTTTTGGAGAAGGTCCGAAAGCTTTCTGTAAAAGTCATCTTTTACATCATCTGGGCTGCAGTCAGTGGGGGCGTAGGCTGATATGACGAAGAGGCAACGACGAGTGTCCCTATCTTTCCGAGTCCTTACTGTCCCGTTCAGTCGGACGGCGCACAAGCGACTATCTACAGGGATCCAGTCAAGGAGAGATTGTTCTGCCCTACGACTCAATGCTATACCTACACCGGCGAGGCCCCTAGAAGCAGCATCAGGGCTACCGGATACACGAAGGGTAAATCGAGCTGCTTCTTTATCTTGACATGGTGAGGTCAAATGAGTGATGCTTCTCGGATCCTGTATGCGCGTTTCCGAGACGCAGCACACATCGATGGTCCGAGATTCTAAAGTCCTAGCTAATGATGCCTGTTGCCCTATTTGACACAATGTCCGTACATTGAATGTTCCAACATGTAGTTTGGAACGGGGTTTAAGGAGACCAGGAACGACGTTTCGCAAACTCGCATCGTTTGCATTAGCTGTGCACTGTAATGAATGAATGTGAGAAGAGTTAGTTGTTGAGATAAGAGAGGTATTAGGGAATGTAGGAAGGATTTGATTTTGAACAATTTGGTCTCGTTTGCTGTTGCGGGTATGAGTGCGGTTGTCACTTCCCGGCTGCCCACACCGTGGAAGGGTGTTTCTTGACGAACCCGAAAAGGAAGATGGATTAGTGTTGGTGCGTGACCGCAGAGTCCAAGGGACAACTGCTTGAGGCCGGTCACGCACGGCCTTTTTATGAGAGGTATTTAGAGGATTAGCTCCGTTCTTAAAGGCCCAGTGGGCACCCTTACCCAAGGAGACGGAAATCCGTGAGGTAGGGGAGGTGTGACATTTTTAGGGCCGACCTTTTCTAACCCTTCCTTCCTTGTGAGAAGGCAGCATCGCTTCAGATGCTGGTTGTCCGAGGGAAACACCTTACTGCTGTCACACCCCTCTGCAGTCAGCAGTACGACTTCGCCCTCAGACCTTGGGTAGCTGCTTTTAGTCTCATCGCTCTCCAATCGACCTGCCTGGCATGGTAGGACCTGTAGGAACATGTGTTCCAGCCAGTATAGCTCGGTTGGGTCATCACGATAGGCAAGCCCGACCACCACGTCAAGGTAGCAGCTTCGGTCGGGGAATTTCAATACAGACAGAAAAAAATAAATAAACGGGGTAAACAGTTCATCTGGGAAATCAATTTTCATATCTAAAAGTGGTTACTATTTGTTGTAAATAAAAGGCAATGAGTACCCTTTTCTTGTTAGCATAAGCGTACATACAGGTCTCTTCATCGCTTTAGTTTGTTTATACCGTTCACGTAAAACTCTATCTAAATTCTTAGGATATGTTTTTTGTTGGTAATTTCAATCAATACTTATTCAATTATTTATCACTATAGGACTTTGAAAGTTTGGCTCTAAACATCTATGATTTAGAATCTGGTGAATTATCCAAAGAACTACCACCTCGTCATTTCACCCTTGCTGGTTATCATGGAACAATCGAATCGGTGAGCCTATAGTTTTACGCTAATCGGTTATTGCAAAAGTAATCGAAGTCTTATATGTAGATCTGACTCTTAGTTAGGTAGTATCAATTTATTTCTGGGGTTTTATGTAATTTCATTGACTTGCCATTTCTTTCCATGATACATTTTTAATATATTTGAAATTAGTCGACAGGAATCTAGAACTTGATGTTGTGTTATTCTACCATTATCTTCTGGGTTTAACTGCAACCGGTTGGAGATTAACAGAAGGATTAACAACTATTAACTTCTACTTCTCTGTAACAAGAGCATTTCGACTAAATCGGTCCCGACGTTGCAATGAGGTGGTAATGATGATGAGTTTTTGTCGGAAGAAAGCTGTTGCTACTTCTCCAAATATGGTATACGATAAATTCGTTCATAATAAAATAATCCACAAAGCTGCTTTCTAACACACTATTCTTTTGTAAATTATTCATTTCAAAATGTCGAGAATTTGCAGAATAATGTTATAAATTCACCCGAAATCCACGTGCATCAATTGGAATGGATTGTGTATCGCGTAAAACTTACATGGAATAGGTTATTCTTAATCAGTCGGGTGTTATTTCTCTGTAATATAGATGAGTATTACATTTAAGATTTCTATTCCTTATTAATATGGTGACTTCCACAGTATGCTTAATAGTAGGTTTTCCAGCCGAAATTAATTAGTGACTTATAATACAAAAACTTAACGGTCTTTAAACATCAGCCCTAATAGTTATGTATATAAGTTTGTTTGTTATTAACAATAACTCTGAAACGAAAAGTAGTTCTCTGAAATATATATTCTAACAATATTTGTACTTTTAATGCATACTTAATGTAGGTTAGTCTAGTTTTGCTTTTCTTTGTAAGTTTAATTAAGTTTATTGATTTTGAAGTGAGTGGTAAACAGAGTTTATTGGTCATTTCTTAAAATATGGTAATTAAATTCTCTTTCAAATGTTAAATGTGAATAGGAATCCTAATTTAGTTTAACAGTTAAATTTATAGTATTATTGGATGCATTGAAGATAATGATTTCAGTAAACTAAACCCACTAACTATTTTTGTTTAGATAGTCGAGTAGTATAATTAACTCCCACTTAAACTGTGACTCAAAGCTGAGTACACGAATCTATATTTGGATATGAGGTTATAACAATAGTGATATAGATTGAAATGCTTTGGATTATCCGGTTATTACTATTTTTGTGAAATTTGAATAATCTTAGCTGTCATATTATTCATCTATGGATTACCTTGATATTGCCATTATGACACGATCAATCAATCAATAGCAACGTAGAACATCCTACGTACGTAAGTATATCAGTTCATGTTGCTATAACACATTAGCACAGAAATGTAATTGTTAATTCAAATCCCATATTAGTAGAGGCAGTAAGGAAATTAGAAGTAATCGGAGAGGTTAGGGTTAGAAGATACTTTTCAAGAATTATGATTCAGTGAGAAAAGTTTAGAGAGTCGAAACTAGAGGTGTTGAAGAATCCAGAAGATTAGGATTTGAGAGAACACAGAGAATAAATGCACCTACGCCATTGCGAACGATTTTGAGCCATGTCATTCAAGGTCTCCAACCATCGATTATTATCATCTCGCGGACCCCAACCAGGTAGTCGACAATTACCGACATGGCTCAGTCCACTAGTCAATGACTTCATGGATTTGTGACATGTTTTGGTTTGGCCGCCCCTAACTTTCTTCCAACCTACTCCTACACCACAAAACAAAGTTCGTCGAGGCAGTCGGTGGGTAGGCATACGTAACACATGTCCCAACTACCTCAACTGATGAAGTTTCACTACTTCATCTATTGATCTGCCATCCTTACCTAGTACTCGTTTCCTAACGACAGCATTGCTCACTCGGTTGTCCCACGGTATACGAGCAATGCTTCGAAGACAACTATGATCGAAAACCCGTAACCTACGAATATCTTCGGCTTTGAATGTCCATGTTTCACAGCCATATAGGAGAACGGAGCGAACTGCTGCACAGTACACTCGTCCTTTGATTAGAGAACGGATATCACGCCTACGCCATAAGTGACGTAGGTTGGCAAAAGCCAATCGAGCCTTATGTATCCGAGCTGAGTTTTCGTCAGTCACCAGGCCATCGGCACTGATGAGACTGCCGAGATAAGTGAAGTGGTCTACACGCTGGACTACTTCACTCCCTATCACTAGTTCAGGTGTCGATGCAACCCAATCTTGAAGCAACATTTTGCATTTCGAGAGGGAAAACCGCATCCCGAACATGCTTGCATTGTTGCTCAGGGTAGTCAGAAGACTCTGCATTTTGTCAGCGTCTTCACCAAGTAGGACTATGTCATCGGCATATTCTAAGTCAATAAGGGAGCCACCTGGTAGAAGGTCTACTCCAGAAAATTCAGACGAGGATATGTAGTGCCTCCACATATATTCCAGTTCGCTTACATCTAACTTGGTTAAGCCCTTTCGGTTAATTTATTTAACCAAGCCATTTGTATAGCAACAACTCATATGTATCATTGTTATTTTTTATTATCTGCTTTGTATGAGCTTATACGACTGAGCATTGCTTACGCTTACGCACTTACTCATCCTTTTCGCTTTAATGTTAATCTCGTAATTTTCCCATGAACTCACATGATTTGTATCGCTTGTCATATGTCTGTCTTATTCTTATCTGACTATATATTCTTAGTCATACTCTATCTCTTTGAGTTGGCTCACTAGCCTTCTCCTATTCGCTTCATTCATTCGCTCGCATTGTAATCCAAAGAGTTGGCTCACTAGCCTTCTCCACGTCGCTTCTTCAATTCGCTATATGGTGTGCCTCGAATAAACGTATACGATACTTGGAATTCACCTTCTGATTTATCAACCGTCAGACGTCATTTGGATAAGGTAGTCTGAACGAGCTTATTACGAAACGTAAGAACACGCCCGAATCAGCACACTACAGATAAGGTTATTTCTTGGAACATGTCTATGATAAACGTAAACAAGAATGGAGAGAGTGGACATCCCTGACGGACATCACTTGAAGTAAAGAATTCCGTTGACAGTTCTCCATAAGCTCTCACTCGACCAGTGGTGTTCGAGTAAAGAGCTTGTATGAGGTTAATGTACTTGTTTGGTACACCTTTCAATGACAGACACTGCCACAGAACCTCACGATCCATTGAGTTGAATGCCGCCTTTAGGTCCAGGAACACAACTATTGTAGGACGCCTAAATGTGTGTCTGTGTTTCAGGAATCGTCGTAGTGTGAAGATGTGGTCTATTCATCCACGTCGGGGTCGAAAGCCAGCCAGGTTTTCTCGAGTCTGCTCTTCACGAGCTTTCGTTAAGCGTCGAAATATTATTGAGGCCAATATTTTAGATACTATATTAGTTAGACTTATTCCCTTGTTATTGTCACAAGAAGACTTGTGTCCTTCATTATTGATTGGGAGGATCAGGGATTGTGACTAGTCAGATGAGATTGTGTCCAGTTCCCAGATTCTACCTAAGATCTCAGTAAATGTAGCTGCTGATACTGGACCACTATCCTTCAATATCTGGGGGGTCAATCAATCTAAAGACCGGTGAAAAACAACGAAGACAAAATAATCAGTAAGACTGAAGGTCAGCGAAACACGTATGTAGAGCATTTTAAGGAACTCCTGCATGGCCATCAGACAAATCAAGAGCGGCAAAACAGCAGGACCAGACAACATTCCAGCAGAAGCAATGGAAGCACATATGGAAACAACTGCGAAAATATTTCACATTCTCTTCAACAAGATTCGGCTTCAGGAACAAGTACCATCAAACGGGAAAAAGGATACTCTATCAAAATACCAAAGAAAGGCGATCTCAGGAAGTATGAGAACTACAGAGGCATCACCCTTCTCTCAGCACCAGGGTATTGTTAAACACAATGAAGGACTTCGTAGACACCCAACTTCGAGATCGACAGGCTGGATTTTGTAAGTATTGATCATGTACTACTGACCAAATGACGACATTACGAATCATTTTGGAACAATCAATTGAATGCAACTCACTTCTCTACATCAACCTCATTGACTACGAAAAGGCGTTCGACAACGTAGTCAGGATGGCACTATGGAGGATTCTTCGACACCATGGCGTGTCTGAGAAGATAATCAACATCATACGGAATTCTTATGGTGGACTGAACTGCAAGATTGTGCACGGAGGACAGCTCAAGGACTCGTTCGAAGTGGAGACTAGTGTCAGTCAAAGTAGCCTAGTCTCACATTCAAGCTATGTCACAACATCATGCTCTTGATATATGGGATGAACAAATTTGGTTCTGGAACCACGAAACTTTTGGTTTCCGCTTAAACAAATATACTGTTTAGTCGAAAAAGGTTGTTCGTTTTAGAAATTTCTTCTTTTGGCAACTGTCTTATTAAAACTGTTGCCAAAATTATACCAACCGCAGTTATTATTTGTATTAAATATTTGCGTACTTCAGTGTCATAACATTTATCATGTTAGTGCGGTTGTAGAGCATGTTAGTGGATGGACACATTTTTGAGATCATGTGCTGAAAACCACATAAAATATATTCTAATTACAACTGTTTTTGAAGCAATTAGTCCCTTTCATAAATTTTGATAGAACAGTGAGAAGATCAATTTCGTATTCCCACTGTTCTACAACTGTTTTCTAGATAATGAGGCCAACTTGATCTCGTAATGATTAGTAAACTCATCGCTGCCTCATCGTTTTTTCTGCCTACGCTACCACTGACTGCAGTTTAGACGAGGTAAAAGATGAGTTTTACAGAAAGCATTCGAACCTCCTCCAAAGTGTTAGGCGCTCTGATGTAGTACTAATGACTGGTGACTTTAATGCTCAAGTAGGTTGTCTGAGTGAAAATGAAAGACACCTGGTTGGATCTTATGGTGTCTTGACTCCCAGAACAGATAATCGCGACCGTCTGCTGCAGCTATGCTCATATAATAGCCTATTCCTAGCAAATACCAACTAAGCGCAAGGAAAAACATCTCTTCACCTGGCAACTCCCAAAGTCATCCGAGCGCTGCAGCCAACTAGACCACATCGCTATCAGGTGTCAATGGAGAGTTTCGATAGAGGACTGTCGCTCGTTTTGGAACAGTTGTAAAGATTCAGATCATGTCTTAGTGCGAGCGCGTATTTGCTTGCGTCCTACTTGACGTAGGCAACATGCTGCAAGGAAACATCTTAGGGTTCTACTTAATGACAACACAGGTAAGAATATATTACAGAAACAACTAGAAAAACAGTAAGGCGGTCATGTTTGTTTTTCATACCCCCAGGCAGCTTGGAACGATAACTAAAAAGGCTGTGGAAACAGCAGTGATATCTACTAGTAAAGTAAATCATTAGGTTAGGGAGAAACAGTTGATCTCAGTAGCATTCGCAGAACTGATAGACACTCGGAAACTTATCTCGCTTGGCTCTGAGTACGATGAGGAGCGGAGTCAGCTTAGGCGCAGGCGGAGAAGTCTATGCAAAAGCGATGGAAAAGGCAGCGGCGATCGGCAACAATAGACAACTATTTAGACTCATCAAAGAATCTGATACTGGTAATTCATCTGTTAGCGAAACTATCTCGGAAAGGGATGGTCTTATTATTCATCCTCAATCCAGGAGATTGGATCGATGGGCAGAACACTTCAGGGAACAGTTCAACTGGCCTTCAGCCGCACTTCGGTTACTCATGATCTCTAGTCGATCTGAGTGGTCAACTGTTGCAAATCCTCCAAACTCTGAAGCGAGGGTGAGCAGAGGGGCCTGACAGGCTGCTTACCTCTGAGATTTTTAAGGATGGTGGTACAGTTTTAGCAGTTAGGTCGACTGAGATCCTAGCTAGAATCTGGGAACTGGGCATAATCCTATCCAACTGATTGTCCTAGTTTACAAAAGTAATCAGTTTAACTAATATAGTATCTAAATTGTTAGTCTCAATAATACTCTGACACCTAATTATAGCTTGTGAAGAGCAGACTTAGAACATGCCAATAACACAGTTCTATTTGGTGAGGACGCTGACAAAATGCAGTCTTCTGACTACCCTGAGCAACAATGCAAGCATGCTCGGGATGTGATTCCCTACACTCGAAATGCAAAATGTTGCTTCAAGACTGGGTTGCATCGGCACCTGAACTAGTGATAGGGAGTGAAGCAGTTATGCGCGTTAACAGCTTCACTTATCTCGGCAGTTTCATCGGTGCCGATGGCCTGGTGACTGACGACATTTCAGCACGGATATAGAAAACTCGATTGGCTTTTGCCAAGTTGCGTCACTCATGGCGTAGGCGAGATATCCGTTTGCTAACTAAAGGACGAGTCTACTGCTCAGCAGTTCTCTCTGTCCTACTATATGACTGTGAAACATGGGCATTCAAAGCCGAAGGTATTCGTAGGTTACTGGTTTCGATCATAGGTGTCTTCGAAGCATTGCTCAAGTATCATGGGACAACCGAGTGAGCAATGTTATTAGGAAACGGGTACTAGGTAAGGATGGCAGATCAATAGATGAAATATTGAAACTGCATCAGTTGAGGTGATTGGGACATATGTTACTAATGCCCTCATACCAGTTACAACACGCGAGACCAAATATGTTAAGATACCTAACCACCGACATCCTCGAAGAGCTGTTTTGCGATGTTGGAATAGATTGGAAGAAAGCTAGGGACGGCCAGACCAAAAGATGGCAGAATTTCATGAAGTCATCGACAAGCGGACTAAGTCAGGTCGGTAGTTGTCGACTACCTGGTTGGGGTCGTCGAGATGATAATAATCGATGGTTAGAGACCCTGAATGACATGGCTCAAAATCTCTTGCGTTGACTCTGTTTTAAGCGATTTTGAACAATGTTATGCAAAGTCGCTTACCAGCGGTTACAATCGCCTAGACTCAATGTGATATGACATAACTGATGGATATGTCTTCCAAACCTCACTTTGATTAAGACTGACTAATATCAACGATAAGAAGCTCACAATAGTGCAGCACCTGACAGACATGTACCGGTGTAGGTTGTCACACCGGATATTAACAGGTAGCTGAAACAACAGGAGTAGACTGTGAGGAAATAGTGGTACCTAAATTATATCATGGCATTGAGTATTGGACTGATCCGTGTTGGTAAGTGCAAACTACATAGTGAGGGTCCACAATAGAACCGTGATCAATGGCATAAGATGTTAGGTCACATGAATTCGGGTTCGTCATGTATTTACTCCTTATTTTATATCCGTTGAGTTCATCCCTATATTTAGAACTGTAGAAGATCGTCTAGTTGCATCCTTAGCCGTACACTGCATCCCGTGCTTCCTTCTCGCTGTTGATATCTTCATAATCCAGACGACCACTAGGAGGGAGAGAAAAGATGAGACTAGGCAACCTTGCTTAACACTGGTCTCCAATTCGAACGAGTCTGAGTTGTCCTGAGTGCTCACTCTTGCAGTTTATTCTATCATAAAAATCCCGTATGGTGTTGACTACCTTCTCAGGCGCGCCGTAGTGTCGATGAATCCTCCATAGTGTCATCCTGACTACGTTGTCGAACGCCTTTTCGTAGTCAATGAGGTTGATGTAGAGAAGTGAGTTGCATTCAATTGATTGTTCCAAAATGATTCGTAATGTCGTCATTTGGTCAGTAGTACATGATCAATACTTACAAAATCCAGCCTGTCGATCTCGAAGTTGGGTGTCTACGAAGTCCTTCATTGTGTTTAACAATACCCTGGTGCTGAGAGAAGGGTGATGCCTCTGTAGTTCTCGTACTTCCTGAGATCGTCGAAGAATCCTGAATCCTCTCCTTGTTCTCAAATGCTTTCCTGAAGCATCTACTAACTGAACAATAAAAATGTGAACAATTAGCCTTTGTATTTCAGTCGCACGAGTTATTCATCTACTAAGTACAAATACATGTACTTTAATTTGTACCATACTTTAAGTTTGAGGACTTGTGACACTTTGTAATTTTCCGAACCGTGTTGGGTAAATCAGAGTTCGAAACTCAAACTTAGTGGCTGAAGGTCGAATGCTTTAATCACTGAGCCACTGCTCTTCTTTGAACAACGTGGAGACTTGTGGCACTTTGAAATTTCAAGTATTTTCTGAACACCCAATTTCTTTATGTGGACCAGTGACTACCTTCCAAGGCTGACAAGTCACTGCATTCGTGAGTTTTGCTGAGGTTATGACCGTACCTTAAACTGCTAGTTTTAGAGTTCGAGACTTTCTTACATTGTTGATTTAACCTCTATCAACATCACAATTTTTGATTTCATTTGAGCTTGGATTCGCACTGGTGACCGCCTAGGTTAGCTAAGACGACTCTATACAATTGCTAGGTGTAGAGGTTATTTTGAACCCGATAACATGTTCTGATCACTACCGAATTTCGGATTCCGTAAGGAAATTGTGTGAAGTTTCCTGCATAACGATTTCCAGCTGATGTATTTAGTTGTCGTAGAGTCTGTTCTTGAATTGTCAGATTACTAACATTTCTGTGACCAAATAATTATCCTTTAGCAAAAGCCTATGTAACAGCTGAAATGTTTTATTTTTGATTTAATTCAAGCCCACTCTTGGGTATTTATCATAATCAACAAGAAACAAACTACTAACTATATAGATTACAAAAATATATTGCTTTTTATTCTTTTTTCCGACAGATATCTGTTATGATGTTTACTGATGTAACCGGTGCTCCGAGTTTTCGATTAATACTATACACGGAAGATAATGCTGTACAACTGATCAGACAAAACGGTATGTTGGTACGGTAGTTTGTTTTCCCTACCTTTTGTGTTGTAAGGATCGACGAATGTTTCTGTGAGCTCCATGACTGTTTCGCAATGCTCATTTCTACATAAATTTTCTAACCAACTGCCTTGATGAAAATAAGTCATAGCTGAAGTTTTTGCATGTAGAATCACTTATATATATTTGTTCTCACTTGCTGAAGTTTGCTACATTCAGTGGCAAATTTTTGCAAATCATCCATATCTGAAGCGAGGTAGAGCAGCGGGGCCTGACAGGATGAAGGTCCAGTTTTCCCTGTTATATTGAGTTAGATCTCGGGCAGAATCTGGGAACTGGCCATGATCCCATCCAACTGATTGTCCTAGTCTACAAAAGTAATCAGTTTAACTAACATAGTATCTAAATTGTTAGTCTCAATAATACTTCGACACCTAACTAAAACTAGGAAACCAGAATAGTTGCAGACCTGGACGGGGATTTTTAAACCATATATTCGCATAACGTAAGGTCCCGAAACACTAAGCGTCCGACAACAGTTGAAGCTGAAAGTGGCATTTGACCCTGTTGATTGTCATTGACGTGCTTTTATGACACTTGCATCATCTGACTTTTCAGGGGTTGAATTTGATATGCTTGTACCTATTACAAGTTCACCTTATTCGTTAATCAGACTTAAGTTCAACGATGCAATGACACGATAGGCTATTCTAATCCGATTGTCTTGGGCCCCGCTAAGTAGAGCAAGAAGTCTTGATAAGGCGTAGACAATGAATTCTACGGACACCCAGAGAGGTTGAGGTTATCAAGCTTATTTACACTATGATCAAAACATCGCTCGTCGAGGCTGTCGATGGTTGGGCGTTCGTAAAACATGTCCCAACCACTTCAACTGATGGACTTTTACTACTTCATCTATTGCTCTGCCATCCTTACCTAATACCCGTTTCCTAACTGTAGCATTGCTTACTCGGTTGTCCCATGGTATACGAGGAATGCTCCGAAGACATCTATAATCGATCACTAATAACCTACGAATGTCCTCTACTCTGACTGACCATGTTTGACATCCATTTAGTAGGACGTAGCGGACTGCTGCGCATTACACTCGACCTTTGATAAGCAAACGGATATCTCGCCTGCGCCACATGTGACGCAAGTTGGCGAAAGCCAGTCGGGCCTTCTGTATCCGTGCTGAGATTTCATCAGATACCAGGACATCAGCACTGAAGAGACTGCCGAGGTAGGTGAAGCGGTCAACACGCTCGACTGCTTCACTCCCTATCACTAGTTCAGGTGTCGATGCAACAATCGAAATATCATCGAGACAAGCCTCGACCCCTGAGATATCTGATAGGATAGTATCCATTAGTTGCCGGAAGATAGATGGGGCTGTCTTGACCTCGAAAGACACGGTTATACTGGAACAAACCACAATGAGTATTGGTAGTAAGCAGCTCTCTTGATGCATCATCTACTTCCATTTGCAAATGAGCATCAGCTAGATCCAGATTTTCAGAAAACTTCCCTCCATTCAGAATATTAAACAGATCTGAGGGAACGGGCAAAGAATAATCATGCTGTTCTAGAGCTGCTTTGAGACCTGTAGAAAAACCAGCTCGTAAACGTATCGTGCCGTTGGCCTTCTTGATAACAACTATAGGTGCTGCCCAAGCAGAGTAAGAAACGGGCGTCATAACTCCTTGTTGTTGAACGAGATTCAATTCTTCATCTACTGTTGCTAATAAGGCACTGGTCTCTTTGGACAGAAAGCAGGCTTAACCCCAGGTTTCAACCGAAGTGTTGCTCTCATGACAGAACACTGACCTAATCCAGGTTGGAAGATGGTTGGAAACTGCGTCATTAGATTCTTCGTATATGCTTCAAGGTCATATGGTCGTGATACTATATGGCATATGGTATTTCGACAAACAGGCAGATACAACGCAGAACTTCGTACGTGAGTCCATTAGTTCAGGTTGCCATACCATGTCAGCACAAAGACGCAACATGACTCAGTCCACTTGTCAGTGACTTCATGGATTTGTGCCATGTTTTGGTCTGGCCGCCGCTAGCTTTCTTCCAACCTACTCCTACACCACAAAACATAGCTCATCGCGGCAGTCGGTGGGTAGGCATACGTAACACATGTCCCAACTACCTCAACTGATGCAGTTTCACTACTTCATCTATTGATCTGCCATACCTACCTAGATCTCGTTTCCTAATAACAGCATTGCTCACTCGGTTGTCCCAGGATATACGAGCTATGCTTCGGAGACGCCTTTGATAGAAAACCCGTAACCTACGAATATCTTCGGCTTTGAATGGCCATGTTTCACAGCCGTATAGGAGAACGGAGTGAACTACTGCGCAGTAAACTCGTCCTTTAGTTAGCAAACGGATATCTCGCCTACGCCATAAATGACGCAACATGGCAAAAGCCAATCGAGCTTTCTGTATCCGTCCCGAGTTTTCGTCAGTCACCAGGCCATCGGCACTGATGAGACTGCCGAGATAAGTGAAGTGGTCTACACGCTGGACTACTTCACTCCCTATCACTATTTCAGGTGTCGATGCAACCCAATCTTGAAGCAACATTTTGCATTTCGAGGTGCAGAACCGCATGCCGAACATGGCTGCATTGTTGCTTAGGGTGGTCAGAAGACTGCATTTTGTCAGCGTCTTCACCAAGTAGGACTATATCATCGACATATTCTAGGTCAGTAAGCGATGGTATTTAACGGGACATCAGCCAATTTTGGCTGGTCAAACTAATCTAAACCAAGTAAATTTAGAACAGTTGGCGTTATATAACATACGCCAGTAAATGACGAATCTCGGAAAGTAACTGTTTGTTCTAATTGTCCTAACAGACGAAGGTAATTTCCACATGCTCTTCGAGGCTTCTGTGTTGTCTGCTGCAGGCTTGAGCTGCCCGATTCGGTCCAGTTTTTGCTCGAGACGATAGTGTCATCGGATGGGGTATCTATCTGCAATCGAAACGGATGCCCGTTAATATTAAGAGTAATAAATTTCCTCTAACCTGGTGATGAGGTTTGACAGGAATATATTAGGCTCAACTCTCATCGTTTTATGTGATTTTATCAAATAGTGTGTTGTTTGTAACTGTCGAAACGACAAATCACGAGTTTTTTTTTAGGTAAACAACAATGGATTCGTGAAGAGGCATTAGCAAACATAGTTGCTGTTGAAGTAATCGATTTGCCTGTTTCAGAGTTTCAAGCGAAAATTGAAGAAGAGTTTAGTCATGCAAGCAGTAAGTTAACGTCTGTCTGTCAGTTAGTAGATTATTTGAACAGGCTATTTGACTTACGTCTCTTTTTATCATTCATAATTGCTTTATTGTTTGCTAATGTAAAAGTATACTACTGCTGTAGATTTGAGGGACCATAAACCATATTCACCCGAAGAATAGTTCATTCAAGAATTTTTTCGTGGCAACCTCAATATTTCCGAAAATGTTAATTACTACACATTAATTAAAAATTTCACAATGGATGGATAATCTGACACACCAGTTGAATTGTTAAACTCTTCAGCGTAACGCAAATTAATTGAAAGTACAAGCCGATATAACATGACCGAATGATATTACTGCTTACAATAACAAATCTATTTATATGCTAACTTGACTCACAATTCCTAAATTTAAAGATTGAATTTTTGGCTTTACTTTAATAATCTCATGAAATAAGAACACGGGGAAGTATACAATCAAATCTTAAACTATTACGGATCACATAACGTGTGACTAATTGGCTTTATTTGATGTTGCCATTAAGGGTCTATAGAGACTGTGGAATTTTGGTACTTTGAATCATGAACTGGTCTTAGCTAAACCGCCTTTAAAAACCTGGAATTATTGAACGACTGTTCCGTTGTAGCATGTAACTCCTCAAAAGTGCTCATCCATGACGCTGCATCTGTAAATTATACAAGAGACTTTCGATCCTGCACACTAACTAAGCCTTGTGTATTCACAACAGTTTTCGTTCTTGTAACAAGAATTACCATTGTTTGTAATTAGAAATTACCACATGCCCAAACCTAGTGGTGTACAAAAATTTATAAATACAGATTACTGATGAGTATATATTGATATAAATCAAACGACCTTTTAAAAGACAGATAGTAGAGGCTTCATATTTATAAAAGAAACCGACTGGAAAAACGACAAACAGTTAATGCACCAAATCTGTGTGCAGGTTGTAGTGATTGCTCAGTTTTATTGAGGTCAGGAAATGTCAAATACGTCTACTAACTCTGATTCATCGCGAACGTCGTCTACTGTTGAGAGCAATTATCATGATGAGAGTAAATTAAATTCTGTTCTTAAGAAAAAAGAATTAGTCAGTAATCAACAGGAAAGCATATTATCCTCTTCATTACCCGAGGATGATTTTGCCATTGACGATGACGATATATTGAGAGAGGAAGCTGATCGTCTGATGCGTCAAGCCCAGACAACAACTACCCGTTGTATTTCAGAGGCACAGGTAAAAATTTCTTCTTTTGGTCATTTGGTTAGTCAAATTTAAGGGTAGTTAATTTTCGCATAATTCTGTTTATCAAATTATATCAGAGTAATATAATCAATAAATTGTCTTCAACAACAGACTGAAGATGCAGTCACTTATCGATTTACTCGAATAAGTTCAACTTGAAGTTTGGCAATTATTTGTAAACCTCAGAGTTCACATCTACGCGTTTTCAAGTGCTCAAATGCGTTATTAACATAGGGTGATTTACACTTCGTGTATCCGGTAGCCCTGATGCTGCTTCTAGGGGCCTCGCCGGTGTAGGTATAGCATTGAGTCGTAGGGCAGAACAATCTCTCCTTGACTGGATCCCTGTAGATAGTCGCTTGTGCGCCGTCCGACTGAACGGGACAGTAAGGACTCGGAAAGATAGGGACACTCGCCGTTGCCTCTTCGTCATATCAGCCTACGCCCCCACTGACTGCAGCCCAGATGATGTAAAAGATGACTTTTACAGAAAGCTTTCGGACCTTCTCCAAAAAGTTAAGCGCTCTGATATAGTTATAATGGCTGGTGACTTCAATGCACAAGTAGGTAGACTAAGTGAAAATGAAAGACACCTAGGTGGATGTTACGGTCTCGCGGCTCAAAGAACAGACAATGGCGACCGCCTGTTGCAACTGTGCTCAGATAACCAACTATTTCTAGCAAACACTAATTTTAAGCATAAGGAAAAACACCTTTTGACCTGGCGACCCCCGAAGTCGTCTCAACGTTGGACACAAGTAGATCACATCGCCATCAGCCACAGATGGAGGGGTTAGATAGAGGACTGTCGCTCGCTCTGGGGCACATGTTTAGATTCAGATCATGCCCTAGTGCGAGCGCGTATTTGTTTGAGGCTTACTGGGTGCAGGAAAGACACCGTGAGGAAGCCTCCTAGGGCTTTACTTGATGATAATCAAGCTAAGAAAATATTTCAAGAGGAACTAGAAAAACAGTTAGGCGGCCATGCAAGTGATTCCCATCCTGAAGCCGGTTGGAATCATATCAAGAAGGCTGTGGAAACAGCAATGGTATCTGCTAGCAAGATAAACCACAAGGCTAGGATGAAGCAGTGGATTTCAGTCGCATCCACCGAACTGATGGATGCTCGAAAACGCATCCCACCTGACTCTGAACATGATGAAGAGCGTAGTCAGCTTAGGCGCAGACTGATAAGAAGCCTACGTAACGACCGTGAACAGTGGTGGGTGGCGAAAGCAAAATCGATTGAAAAGGCAGCGGCGATAGGCAACACTAGACAACTTTTCCGCCTTATCAAAGAAACCGGTATTAGGAACCCGAATGTAAGTGAGACTATCTCGGAAAAGGATGGTCTTATTATCCATTCTCAATCTAGGAGGCTGGACCGATGGGCAGAACACTTTAGGGATCAGTTCAACTGGCCTCGAGCCACTCTTCGGTTGCCCACGATCTCCAGTCATCCTGAATGTCAAATCGATTTAAGTCCTCCCAGTTTACATGAAGTTGAGAAAGCTATAGGAAATCTAAGGAGAGGTAGAGCGGCAGGTCCCGATAGGCTTACCCCTGAGATGTTTAAGGATGGTGGTCCAGTTTTAACGGTTAAACTGACCGAGATCCTAGGTAGAATCTTGGAAATGGACGTAATCCCATCTGACTGGTCTCAGTCGCTAATTGTCCCAATGTACAAGAAAGGACAGAAGTCTTCTTGTGACAATAACAAGGGAATAAGTCTAACTAATATAGTATCTAAAATATTGGCCTCAATAATACTTCGACGTCTAACTAGAGCTCGTGAAGAGCAGACTCAAAAAAACCAGGCTGGTTTTCGACCTGGACGTGGTTGTACAGACCACATCTTCACACTACGACAGGTCCTGGAACACAGACACACATTTAGACGTCCGACAATAGTCGTGTTCCTGGACCTTAAGGCGGCATTTGACTTGGTAGATCGTGAGGTTCTGTGGCAGTGTCTGTCATTGAAAGGTGTACCAAAGAAGTACATTAACCTTATACAAGCACTCTACTCGAACACCACTGGTCGAGTGAGAGCATATGGCGAACTGTCATCTGAATTCTCTACATCAAGTGGTGTCCGTCAGGGCTGTCCACTCTCTCCATTCTTGTTCAACTTTGCCGTAGACATCCTCTTAGAGTTAACATGAGGCTCGTCAGATTTTTCAGCGGTTGACCTTCTACCAGGAAAGTCGCTTACTGATCTAGATTATGCCGATGACATAGTTCTATTCGGTGAAGACGCTGACAAAATGCAGAGTCTTCTGACTACCATAAGCAACAATGCGAGCATGTTCGGGATGCGGTTTTCCCCCTCGAAATGCGAAATGTTGCTTCAAGACTGGATTGCATTGGCACCTGAAATAGTGATAGGGAGTGAAGTAGTCGAGCGTGTTTATCACTTCACTTATCTTGGGATTCTCATCAGTGCTGACGGTCTGGTGACTGACGAAATCTCAGCTCGGATACAGAAAGCTCGATTGGCTTTTGCCATGTTGCGTCACTTATGGCGTAGGCGTGATATCCGTTCGCTAACCAAAGGGCGGGTGTACTGCGCAGCAGTTCGTTCCGTTCTCTTATATGGCTGTGAAACATGGCCGTTAAGAGTAGAAGATGTTCGTAGGTTACTAGTATTCGATCATAGATGTTTAAGAAGCATTGCTCGTATATCGTGGGACAGCCGAGTAAGGAATGCTGTCGTTAGGAAACGAGATCTAGGTAAGGATGGCAGATCAATCGATGAAGTGGTGAAACTTCATCAGTTAAGGTGGTTGGGACATGTGTTACGTATGCCTAACCACCAACTGCCTCGACGAGCTATGTTTTGTGGTGTAGGAGTAGGTTGGAAGAAAGTTAGGGGCGGCCAGACCAAAACATGGCACAAATCCATGAAGTCTCTGACAAGTGGACTGAGTCATGTTGGTAGATGTAGACTACCTGGTTGGGGTCCGCGAGACGAAAGTCATCAATGGTTAGAGACCTTGAACGACATGACTCAAAATCGTTTGCAATGGCGCAGGTGCATCCACTCTTTGAGCTCTCTCAAATCCTAATCTTCTGGATTAGCCAGCACCTCTACCTTTGTCTTTCTAACCTTATCTCACTGAGTTATATTTTTTGAATAATATCTTAAACCCTAGTCTTCTTTATTATAACATTAATACCTCTACCATCTTTATCACTATGGGATTTGATTTGACATTTGCGTCTCTGTGCTAATAATGTGGTATGGCAACATGAACTTATGTACATACGTACGAAGTTCTACGTTGCATCTGACTGACTGACGGAAGCTGATCGTCTGATGCGTCAAGCCCAGACAACAACTACCCGTTGTATTTCAGAGGCACAGGTAAAAATTTCTTCTTTTGGTCATATGGTTAGTCAAATTTAAGGGTAGTTAATTTTCGCATAATTCTGTTTAAAAGCTTCTTATATGGACACATAGGTTTATCAAATTATATCAGAGTAATATAATCAATAAATTGTCTTCAACAACAGACTGAAGATGCAGTCACTTATCGATTTACTCGAATAAGTTCAACTTGAAGTTTGGCAATTATTTGTAAACCTCAGAGTTCACATCTACGCGTTTTCAAGTGCTCAAATGCGTTATTAACATAGGGTGATATTCTTTCAAAACGATTTCTTAAAGATGACAAATTGGGGTTGATGAAATTCAGTATAATGAAATCAGGAAATAGTACTATTTAGTCATAAGAGTATTTAGAAATCACCTAGTTAGTTGCAAAGTAGGACTTGGTACTTTGGTTTGTTATATTCCATTAGCACACAGATAAAGTTTTCAGACCAAATCCCACAGTAGTAGAGATAGTAACACTATCAGTGGTAATCGAAAACATTAGACTGTGAAGATCCACGAAAATATTAATCAGTGAAATAAAAATGGCTAACGACTGATTACGACTATCAGTTGAATCCCAATTAGGTAGTTTACACCTATTAAGATAGCTCAATCCGAATGTCAATGACCTCATGGACTAATGCCGTGTTTTGGCACGCCCACCCCTGGCTTTCCAACCTATTCATCGGACAATATTTTATAGACTGGGACGACTAGCGATCAATATTAGATCAGATGGGATGTATCCAGTCGCCTGTTTCTAACTGAGATCTCAGTTAATATAACTGCTAAAACTGGACCACCATCCTTAGAAATCTCGGTAGTTATTCCTTCAGTCTCTGTTACTTTCCCCCGTTTCAGATTGCTTACAGCCTTTTTCAACCCCACTAAGAGTTGCTGAAGATGGTGGGTAACTGTGTGACTGAAGGCCAGTTGAACTGTTCCTTTAGTTTTTCTCCCGGATTGAGAGTGAATAATAGTCCTGTCTTTTTCGTAGATATTTTCACTTACAGACAGACTTCTAATACCAGTTTCCTCAATTTGTGTGAAAAGTTGTTTGCTGTCATCTGTCGTCACTGCCTTTTCCATCTCTTTTGCTTTCGCTACCCACCATTGCTCACGATCACTGAGTAGGCTTTTTATCAGCCTGTGTTTAAGCTGCCTCCTCTTCTCATTGTGTACAGAGCCAGAAGGGTTCAGTTTCCCAGCATCTATCAGTTCAGTATATGCAAATCAATCGCAACGTAGAACTTCGTACGTACGTACACCAGTTCATGTTGCCATAACACATTAGCACAGAAATGTAATTGTTAATTCAAATCCCATATTAGTAGAGGTAGCAAAGGTATTAGCAGTAGTCGGGGAGGTTAGGATTAAAAGATATTATTCAAGAAGTAGAATCCAGGGAAATAGAATTATAAAGGTGAAGTGATAAAGAATTAAAAAGTTTAGGGTTTGAGAGAACACAAAAAATGAATCCACCGTCGCCATTGCAAACAGGTTCGAGTCATATCATTCAGAGTCTCTAATCATCGATTATCGTCTCGTGGACCACAACCAGGTAGCATCATCTACCATCATGACTCAGTCCTTTTGTCAGTGACTTCATGGATTTGTGCCATGTTTTGGTCTGGCCGCCGCTAGCTTTCTTCCAACCTACTCCTACACCACAAAACATAGCTCATCGCGGCAGTCGGTGGGTAGGCATACGTAACACATGTCCCAACTACCTCAACTGATGCAGTTTCACTACTTCATCTATTGATCTGCCATACCTACCTAGATCTCGTTTCCTAATAACAGCATTGCTCACTCGGTTGTCCCACGGTATACGAGCAATGCTTCGAAGACAACTATGATAGAAAACCCGTAACCTACGAATATCTTCGGCTTTGAATGTCCATGTTTCACAGCCGTATAGGAGAACGGAGTGAACTACTGCGCAGTAAATTCGTCTTTTAGTTAGCAAACGGATATCTCGCCTACGCCATAAATGACACAACATGGCAAAAGCCAACCGAGCTTTCTGTATCCGTCCCGAGTTTTCGTCAGTCACCAGGCCATCGGCACCGATGAGACTGCCGAGATAAGTGAAGTGGTCTACACGCTGGACTACTTCACTCCCTATCACTATTTCAGGTGTCGATGCAACCCAATCTTGAAGCAACATTTCGCATTTCGAGTGTACGGAACCACCACATGCTTGCATTGTTGCTCAGGGTAGTCAGAAGACTCTGCATTTGTCAGCGTCTTCACCAAATAGAACTATGTCATCGGCATATTAGTCGTCTAATTATAATCGAGGCTAACAAAATAGACACTATATTAGTTAGACCGATTACCCCTCAGATTGTCACAAGAAGACTTTTGTCCTTTCCATCCTTAATAATCTCAGGTGTCAATCTATTTTCACACGTAGCTCGCCCTCGCTTCATATTTCCTATCGCTTTCTCAACTTCATAAGGATTCGGAGGACTTAGGTCGGTTTGCCTTTCATGATGACTGGAGATCGTGGGCAACCGAGGTGTGCCTGAGGGCCAGTTAAACTGATCCCTGAAGTGTTCTGCCAATCGATCCAATCTCCTGGATTTAGCATCCATCAGTTCGGTAGATGCAACTGAAATACACCGATTCTCCCTAACCTTATGGTTTACTTTACTAGAAGATATCACTGCCGATTTCACAGCCTTTTTGATATCATTCCAAGCTCCCGCAAGGTGGGCATCACTTACTACATCGCTGCCTAACTGTCTTTCTAATTGTTCCTGAAATGTATTCTTATATATATAAATATATTCCCGGCTACCTACACCGTGGAAAGGTTTTTCTTGAGGAACCTGAAAAAGAAGTTAGAATAGTATTGGTCTTCTAGACCTGAAAGCGTGACTGCAGTGCGCAACGGACAACTGCTTGCGGCCGGTCACGCACGGCTTTTTTATGAACGGTTTAATGAGTATTAGCTCCGCTCTTTCTAAAGCCCCTAGTGGGCAGCCCTTACCTTCGGAGACGGAAATCCCTGAGATAAGGTGTGGTGTGACATTTTTAGGGTCCGCCTTTTACAACCCTTCCCTCCTTGTGAGAAGGCAGCATGGCTGCAGATGCTGGTTATCCGATGGAAACACCATACTGCTGTCACATTTCTCTGCATTCAGGAGTACGACTTCTCCCTCTGACCGTGAGTAGCTGCTTTTAGTCTCATCGTTCTTCAATCGACCTGCCTGACAAGGTAGAACCTACAGGAACATTGTTCTAGTCAATATTCCTCTGTTAGGTCATCACGATTGGCAAGCCCGACCACTACATCAAGGTAGCAGCTGCGGTCGGGGCTTTAATTGCCGGTGCGCCAACATCGATTTGGAGGTCTGTATGGGCTGCTTCGATGTTGGATGGGTACAGTGTAGCTGGTCGATTCAAGAGTTCCTTCAAGTGCTCTACCTAGGTGTTACGCTCTTCTTCAGTACTGCTGATTGCTTTTCCTTCGTTGTTTTTCACTGTTCTTTCTGGTTTTCGATGGTTTCCAGCGAGCTTCTTTGTTGCATAGTACAATTGTGTCAAGCGATGCGAAAGGCAGCGGCGATAGGCAAAACTAGACAACTTTTCCGCCTTGTCAAAGAAACCAGTAATGAGAACCCGAATGTGAGTGAGACTATATCAGATATTGATGACTGTAATATTTATTCTCAATCCAGAAGATTGGACCGATGGGCAGAACACTTTAGGGATCAGTTCAACTGACCTTCAGACACACTACGGTTACCCACGATCTCCAGTCATCCAAAGTCAAATTGCCTTGACTCTTCCTAGTCTTTATGAAGTTAAAAAAGCGTTAGGAAATCTGAAGCGAAGGAGAGCAGCAGGTCCTGATAGGCTTACCGCTGAGATGTTTAAGCATTTGTCTGAGAAATGACTGCTGGAGAAACGCCAGAGATAAGTGATCCAGTCTATACGTTCTACTTCACTCCGTATTAATTATTCAGGCACCAATATAAGCTATTACTTAAACCGCAGTTCGAGGGAAAATGTCACTTCCAGCACATGCTAGCATTGTTTCTGAAGGTGACTAGAAGGTTGCTTGTAGTCAGTCTTTACTAAACAGAGCTGTACAACTTATTCTACGTTAACAAATGAATCTTCTGGTATAACGGCGACTACTCCCTAACGGTACTTCTGTGGCAAGTTTCTTTAGTGTTAGTTTCGCTCTTCAGAAGGCCTTACCATAGTGAGGTAAAGTGAGGTTTTACATCTAGTCCTTTCCTTTTTTGTAAGAAGGCATAAATCTAGCAAACGTTAGTTGTCGGAGATGAACACGTCAAACTACTGTACAGTTAGCGGTACGACTTCTCCCTCGAACCTCAAGTTGCGACATTATCCAACCAACCTGGCTGACACTATCACTCAAATAAGCGTGTGTTCCGGGTAATATGACTCTCTTGATTCATCATTATAGACAATCCTGACCACCACGTTAAGGTAGTAGCTACGGTTTAGGAAACTAATATCTAGTGGACACATAATAAACGAGACAGCTGTCCAGTGCTTCCTGTTTTTCACTGGCTTGGTTTGTGATATCGTAGGTCAATGTCAGTTGTTTAAAGTTACTTATTGAAATTACTATTTTATTCTGGGATGGAGGTCCGGATTATTTTCTGTATTTGTCCTTGTTTTATTCTAACAGACAACATTTTGGAGATGTTTATTCAACGTTTAAGAACACAAATTTCTCAATTAGTTGTGAGTTAATCATTTCTGTTGCACTGTATACACTTTTATTTTGTATATATAACACTCCCATTGTTTTAATTTTTCATGTCTAATTAGCTGTTTTTCTAAATAAAACTTTCAAACAATGAGTCATTTTTTACTTGTTTTTCTCATAACAATAGACCAACTGCTAATTATATTTCTACAACAGAGAAAATACCCAATTTAGCTGAACTTATAGAAATGTTCTACCAGTAACCGTTCTCTATATTTTTATTGTAGGATTTTTAAATACCTTACTCATTGTAACCTGTTTCGACGCAGAATATTTTGTTGTATGTTGTACAATTTCTTAAGTTCATATCATTTAACTGCATATGGTATTGTTGTATATATATTGCATTATATTGACAATATTAGGGCTAAATCAGACAGCTGTTCATATAATTACGTCCCTATCACATTAGCCCAATTCCTTTTGCCATCCTATCACATAATAATAATAACAATATCTTGTTGACTGTTATTTAATCTAAGTGATTTTGAAGCTTAAAACAGCTTGAAGAGTTTAATGCTGTATTCGATGTTTACACTCTTACAATGTACTTCTAAATTTATGCATTACAAGTCATATAATTGATTGTTTATCTTTAGGTGGAAAAACACTTGTTTAAATTAGCAGAACAGCATCAAAATATGATTCCCGTAAATACTGACAGACCCGCGAATAGTAGCCTCCAAATTTCCCTTTTCACTTCCGTTCATCCTGTCCTGACAAGTAAAGAGCTTTAAGATACTTGTAGTAACTACATTAGTAAAGCAGTACGATGATATAGTTTTAGCAATTTTCACTTTTGATTGGGTATTTTGCAGCAGACAGTTGCACAGTAAGGTTCGCTTTATATATATATATATATATATATATATATATATATATATATATATATATATATATATATATATATGCATGCTTTCGTTTATTAAACTTATAAAGGTATGGACAAAGCATTGGATTTCCAACCTACCGAATTTATTCATGACCATACTATCGTCATCCAAACTATCCACTTCGCTTTTTAAGCATTCATCTGATTATGATCTGTCAAAGCGTAAAGTACTTTCATCATCATCACAAGACTATACATCAAGCGATACAACATCTTTGTCAAGTCATTCACATAGTTTTCCACCTAGATGGCGATTTTCATCGTATATCCCTCCTGTGCGTGTCAATAATTACACTGATAATGATAATACCATTGGTAATATAGACGTTAATAAGCCGAATTCTTACCAATCAACTCAAATTAATCCTAAAATTATGTGGGATGAAATGCTTACGCGTGACAATTTCAATGTTCATAAGATGTTGATTGTAGCTACCTCAGTCGGGAAAGTAAGTACTTTGATTATTCATTTAACTGAGTTAACATAACCAGAGATTTTGTGGAAAATACTTCCCATTCTAATGATGATTATCAGTTGACTGTGAGACATTTTTCAGCACACCATACGCAAATTGGTTGTTTAGTGTATTATGTTTTGGTCTACAATTGTTATCTAGGCCCCTGATATTGTAGTAAGGCGCCGAAAACACATTAGATGGTGATGAAATTTGGCGAATATGCATATGATTTATTATTGGTTTTATTGTGTACAATAACTGTCATACAATAACTGTACAATAACTGTTATTAACTGTAAAATGCAGTATAGTTATTTAGATATCTCTAAACAGCCTTTAAAATAATATTCTTGATTATCTTATCTTGTTGTCACTTAGTATTGCGACATTGTTCCATGTTGAGTGAAAAGTCACCAATTAAAATCTTGGATATGATTTCTACAACTCACGTAAATTGTTTCAGTTATCGCCTGTAAATGTCCTAAGCTTCAATCAATAATAACATGTTAAACTCACTGATTAGCTCTTATTTTCTCTAAATAATTCTTTTTCATACTAACTAATGTCTAAGAGGAGTTTTTCCTCGTTTACGATGTACCTATTTTTATTAATACGGATGTTTTTTGCTGTATATTGAACACGCGGTCTGTTGTTAGTGTGGAAACGTTAATCACCAAAAAGAATTCTGAACTCTTAGCTCCTGTTGGTCTTTTATTCCCTGTCTCGAATCCGAACAAAAAAACACTATAGAAAATCCCATATTTTTACATTTCAGGCTCCAAGTATTGTCTATCTCCAGCACACGAATTATCAGTCAGCGACCTATGTCGAATAAGTAATTACACTATATACATTTAATATAACGGAACAAAACAACAGTACATAGTCAGTCGACAATAATTAGAGAATAATAAATCTTATAAAAATACACTGAAAGCTTACAATACGTGGAATATAGAATAATCTTGAAGCTCCTCCACTCTTCAACAATCACTTTGTCATAACGAGTAACCTGGAATTTGTATCCTTACGTTATTTCATACTACATTGAATTACATAGTCTATGCAGTATGTACGATAATAAGGGTCATATAAGCTCTTATTTTATGCTTTCAAAATACTTTCTATTTAACCCGATACATTCGTTCTCTCTTAATTATCACTGTTCAGAGCATTTTTGAAAGTCCTTAGTCAAACCGACCTTGCATGTTATCCTAACAGTTTCTTCTTAGGTATCCGTCAATTTTCTTAACTCGAAATTCTATGAAACAAGACACTACGACCTCACCAATGCTCTGGCTGTTTATCATCGTGACGGTACACTACATTGAATGTTTCGTTGTTAGAATCATTAAGACAAACAAAACTGATTTGTGAAAAGCAAATGATAAGAATTAATACCTTGAACTTTATTCTGTTTATTCTTACTGTTGTATTAAGTGATATGTATCTTCACTAAGCTTTTTTAAATATTAAAGGTTTCTCAACTCTTGTCTCTTCTTACTTGTCATCGTTAACTATTTTTTAGCTGTTTGGTTTAGAAAGTGAACGTGGTCGTATTGTATGGGATTATTTTGTCCCATCTGCAAAACTTTTAGCTAACGGAAAACTTGCCCTCTTCCAGCAGCGTAATTTAGCTCATTTTCCCTTACCGCCTATCATATCACTATTATTCCGATCAAAGGTAAGCTTTGATTCCTTTTTTATTTCATAATTATACAGATTTTATGATATAAAAAACACATGTCAGTATGTTGTGCACACATCCTACTACTGATGTACGAACCGGTTTTCCCAATGAAATGCGCAATCACCTCTTTATTCGTTTTAATTCACATGTAAAGTCATTGATATTGCTGTTATTTTTAAGTGTCTTGGGGGTAATCGATTGGATACTCCGGATCTCAGTTTCATGCTATTTGACACTTGTCAGGAATGATTGATCGTCAACACTAAGGATTCGAAATCATGGTATCGGTTTTTACTCACTGATCAATCAGTTGTAAGCATCTGAGTCCTATGAAAAGTTAGTTGCGTCATATAGAAGGCAAGGCTAAAGTTTTTGATGGACACTTTTTTCAAATCTCATTGGCAGCACCATTTTTTGTCAAGATTGCAGATGTATCTTGTTGATGAGGGGCAGCTGACGCGAACCTTGATCTAAGGCATTCTCTCTATTTATTCCAATCACTCAGCTCCTGAACATAGTGACCTCGTTGTTGCGCTGCATAAACTTGTGACCAGTTTGAAACTTGCTCAGTAGAATTTGTTTGACATTAAAGACTAGATACGGATTATATTTCATACAGCTAGCTCCCTTCAAAAATTTAAAGAAAACAAGAGCAACATAAATTACAAGCGTTTGCATCGTGTTTTCTAACTGACCGTCGTAGATGGCACCATTTAAACTATCTAACTCAATAACAAAGCATTTGTATATAATGAAGTGTTTTTGGATCGATAGTATGAGCTATTTGTTTTGTGAGACAAAGTTCACCCCGGTTGTTCACAGAATATGGAACTGATATGTTCGCCATTTGATGTGCTTGAAACTATTACAAGTTCACCTTATTCGTTAATCAGACTTAAGATCAACGATGCAATGACACGATAGGCTATTCTAATCCGATTGTCTTGGGCCCCGCTAAGTAGAGCAAGAAGTCTTGATAAGGCGTAGACAATGAATTCTACGGACACCCAGAGAGGTTGAGGTTATCAAGCTTATTTACACTATGATCAAAACATCGCTCGTCGAGGCTGTCGATGGTTGGGCGTTCGTAAAACATGTCCCAACCACTTCAACTGATGGACTTTTACTACTTCATCTATTGCTCTGCCATCCTTACCTAATACCCGTTTCCTAACTGTAGCATTGCTTACTCGGTTGTCCCATGGTATACGAGGAATGCTCCGAAGACATCTATAATCGATCACTAATAACCTACGAATGTCCTCTACTCTGACTGACCATGTTTGACATCCATTTAGTAGGACGTAGCGGACTGCTGCGCATTACACTCGACCTTTGATAAGCAAACGGATATCTCGCCTGCGCCACATGTGACGCAAGTTGGCGAAAGCCAGTCGGGCCTTCTGTATCCGTGCTGAGATTTCATCAGATACCAGGACATCAGCACTGAAGAGACTGCCGAGGTAGGTGAAGCGGTCAACACGCTCGACTGCTTCACTCCCTATCACTAGTTCAGGTGTCGATGCAACAATCGAAATATCATCGAGACAAGCCTCGACCCCTGAGATATCTGATAGGATAGTATCCATTAGTTGCCGGAAGATAGATGGGGCTGTCTTGACCTCGAAAGACACGGTTATACTGGAACAAACCACAATGAGTATTGGTAGTAAGCAGCTCTCTTGATGCATCATCTACTTCCATTTGCAAATGAGCATCAGCTAGATCCAGATTTTCAGAAAACTTCCCGCCATTCTATAGCGTTTGTCACTTAGTCGATAAATGCGAACGAGACTATTACCAGCGTACAGGTAGGCTACCTTGAATCCCCAAAGCGAGTAGAAAGCGTAGAAGTATATTCTACGAACACCCAGCAATCACAGTGCAATCAAGCATACAGCTCTCGTTTTTCTATGCATCATAGAAAGGTCCCTGGCACAGTTACGAAAATACACTAAAATACACAACAGCCAATCACAGCCATGGATTTTCCTGGAGGGAATCGAAATCTCAAGGTCAACTGATCAGCGCATGCTGGTAAACGTGAAAACCAAAATAAGGCATTTATCAAGCGAGTTTCGGTGATCTATCATCCCCAACACTCCTCCCCTTCCTAATAGCGTGTGCTTCTGGGGTCGTCTTGCATCTTGACTGTCGTTCGCCGCTGTCTTAGAGGATACCTCCGGGTATGAAGAACAGCTTGCTGCTGAGTTTCTTCTCGTGGCGGGGCTGCCGGTAGGTTGAAGGTATCAAGCAAGATGTCAAGCGGAAGGCTTTCTGCTCTTGATGGGCGATCTGGGGCTAGCGGTCTGCGAATCTGATTACGATGATGTGACCATTTATCACCTCCTACCTCTACTTCGTACATAACTCGACCAACTCGTCTGACCACTCTCGCTTCTGCCCATGGATCATGGTTCGTTCTGTAGTCACAGGCAAACACAGGGCATCCCACTTCGTAAGCGGATTATCTTTGCGGCTTTGTCTCTACTGATGAGGGTGCATTGGTCGAATGCACCTGGCTGTGAATCGTTTTCAATCTTCTTCCCATCAGGATTTCAGCTGGGGACTTTTGCTCCGGTAACAATTCATTTGGTGTTGTCCGATAGACGTACAAGAAATTTTGTAACGTTTCGGCTGGCGTCCCCTCCCCTTTTGACTTGAGCAGTGCTCTTTTAAACGTATCCACAAACCTTTCCGCCTGCCCATTCGATTGCGGGTGGTATGGTGGTGAGCGTAAGTGTTTAATGGCTAGCCGTTGACAGAAAGTCTGGAATTGGGAAGAGGTGAATTCAGAGCCATTGTCGGATACGATCACATATAGTATGTCATTTCGAGAGAAAATTTCAGTTAGGAGCTGTATAGCCTTAGTTGTATAACGGGACTGATTTCTGGCCATTTTGAGGCGTTGACGACAAATAAGTACATAGTTCCATTAATTGGACAGGTGAAGTCGATATGTATCCTGGACCAAGAATGCTCAGGTTTTGGTCATGAAACCGCGGAATTTCGGGGTCCATCTTTGCCGCCTGCTGACACCGCATGCATTTTTCAACCAACGCTGTGACATGTTGATCCATGTGAGGCCAGTATGCATAACTTCTGGCTATGGACTTCATTCATTTAATCCCAGGATGGCCGAGATGGAACTGTCTCGGCACTTTTACACGAAGGGATTCTGGCACGACTACTCTTTCACCAAACATCAGACAATCGTTGACGATGCATAGTGAATCCCGCCGCTGATACAGTTGCTTCATGTCACCTTCAAACTTTTTCGACGGTCAACCGTTGGTGACATATTTCATCGTCATCTTGGTGATGGGGTCGTTTCTAGAAGCATTTTGTATGTCTGTTGCAGACACCAGTAATGCGCGAACTGCGGTTGTCAGATAACATTCTGCGTGGTCTTCTACTGACAAAGATGCGATCACCATGTTTTCCTCAACCGCCACTTGATCATTAATGAGTCATGACAAAGCGTCTGCTTGACCGAATTGTATGGTGCGTCGATATTGGATTTCGAAATTATACCCAAAAGTATGAAGGCCCATCGCTGAAGACCATTTGCAGAATGGGCTGGAATGCCAGATTTAGAACCGAATACTGCTAACAGAGTCTTGTGATCTGTGAAGAGCGTGAATCTCTGACCGTAAAGAATTTTATGGAAACGGAGAACAGCAAACACAAGAGCAAGAGCTTCTTTCTCTATCTGGCTATACTTCTTTTCTGCTGGGGTTAGTGTACGGGATGCATGCATAACGGCTTTTTCTGACGCATCTGGAAACTGATGTGAAATAACAGCACCTAGGCCATATGCTGAAGCGTCTGCTGCTACGATGATTGGCATGGATGGGTCGTAGTGTGTTAATAACAATTCCGAGCTAATTATGAACTTGAGTTTACCAAAAGCCGCGTCACACTATTTAGTCCAGTTCCATGTGCTATTCTTCTGTAGTAGACAATTCATCGTAATCCCGAGACATTAATGGGAGTGTGCATCAGTTTGATTGCTCGGATGTTCTCAGGATCCGGTCTGCGACCGTCGGCATCAAAGATGAATCCCAAGTACTTTACCGACTGCAATAGAAACTGGCATTTTTCTGGGCGTAATCGGAAACCATTGACACTGATGCGTTGTAGTAGCAAGGTCGAGCGTTAAGTAGCTGTTCTAATATCGTCGCAACAAATAAAATTTCATGGACCTAGAATATTTATTATCGATAAAGTCAAGTGTGCCCACTGACTCCCCATGAAGTACAAAACATTTATTTCTATCCGTCTTCCAGCGTAATTTTTCGTTGGCGAAAATCCATAATCGTTGTTTATCTTTTTCTTCTCTCAAAATGGCTTTTAATTATTGGAATTTTTACATTATCTAATTTCATTGTTTATTCTTAGATAACAAATCTACCAGTACTTTTCTCATTCAATCCAGTCACCGGTGTTCCGTCACACGAAAAAGGCATGGATTTGTATGCATTGAAATCAGATATTCTTCAAACTGTCTTGGATCCTGGTTCTGTAATTGAACGGTGTGATTTTATTAGACCTTTGCTGTTGTTGAAAACAGATTTAGATGTAATTCGTTTTTGAACTTTTTCATTCTTATTTAACCATGCATTATAACTACTATTCAAAAAAAACCTTATTTTAAATGTACTTTTTGACACAAATCGCTATTAACTGAGAAACTTTTGAAAACCAATATCTACTAATGACATCTACTCCAAATCGACCACATCTCGTGGTTTAAGCGATACTACCACTGAACTAATAATCAATCGATTAGATATATTGAAGTACATAACAGAAACCCACCAAACTTATCTTCGGTCCTCTGTGCCTAATCTATATTACGCCGACTGGTAACCATGACTCATGAAGTAGGAGCTGCATGTAGACTTCAGATATACAGTTATAGATATCTTGCAAGCACTGCTCGCATATTGTGAGTAGACTACGTTGATGTTAGACGTACGAAACTAGACAAATATGTCAAATGGATCATTAAAAGTATAAATCTTCATCGACTGAAATGGATGGAGCACATAACTAGGCAAGTAATTTTTAGATGAAGTAGAAGTTCTTTAGAAGAAAACTGACAGAATCCCATACCAATCTCTAGAAGTAATAACCATTGGACTGAGCCTTGTTGGTAGGTAGGAATTATTTGATTTTGGTCTTTTTGATAATGGCGATTACTTGTTGGAGATTATAGGTAACATGGCTCAAGATCAGCCACAGTCGTGTAGATGCTTATAGTTTTCTTTTTCCCCTTAATCATCAGCTTTAATATTATCCCATACTTTCCGTATTTTCTAATGTACGAAGTGATCAAGATCAGTTAGATGTGAAGATGCCCAGCTCCTTAACTGTGATGACTTCTATAGTCAATCTAAGCAGATTATCTTTAAAAGCCAGTTTTGTCAGCTTCATTGCATTTAATTTTACGAGACATTATTGTTAGCGACGGATGTCTACCGTGTCAGGAATACTACTCACTTGAAGTAATGGAAGTTGGTCGCCTAATATTTTGAATTAATTAGAGTCAGATTTGTACATTATTTGATCCTGATTCCGTTGTTCAGGGGCTAAGTAATCTCTTGTGCAGGACCGAAGGTCCTAGTTGCGAGACTACTGATGCGCACTGCTTAGAATTCCCGTACAAAGACAAAACTGTCTAGTGCTTCCAGATTTTCGATGAAGTTAAACAGTCTCCATAGCTCCATACTAACTGTTATCTTTTGTTCACCTCCGATAGATCCCAGTGAATTTATTAGTAAAATGTGTTGCTTCTCATCTTGTTTTCTTTAACCCAGTTTTCTTTTTGTCATTGAAGGACTTTATAAACAAGTGTTTTACCAGAGTAATTCTATTCAGTGTCTGGATAAAACAGTAGAAATCACCTTGAAAAATCCCTTCCAATTTTGGATACACTAAAATTGTTTTCACTTCAGTTTTTTTGTGCTCGAACTAATTTGTAAAATATTTTCCATAACGTAATTTTGTAAATCTCTTACTTAAATGAGTGTTATCATCGTATCAGTTTTCATGTTCCTGTGAACCATGAATTTTAAGTTCATCATACAATGGTGTACATGTTTAATATCATCTAAGGCTGGCTCAGACGTCAGAAGGTAAACTTTCAGTGAATAATGAAGCTCATCGTTTCGGTACCCGTCAGAATCGTGGACGCACACTCGTTATAGATCTTATACCAGGACGAAACAGCTGTCATGTGTTGCTCGCTTTTTATTCATTGTCTGTTTCTGATCTCAATAACACAATAATTTCCAAAAACCTATCCAGACAATAATTGCTTTGTCTGTGAAGTTAGTTAGTTACTAATTCACTGATCTTTAGAATTCTATTTAATTGTTACAGATTGAAGTTTATCCGTCTACTTGTACGCCTACATATTTATCATCGGATTCAGAACCTTTATACATATTTACTATTGAAAACGAACGAGCGCGTCTTACGGGATATCGTATGCATCGGAAGTCTTCAGATGATCAATCATTAAAAGCTACACGCGTCTGGCGAATGTTATTGAGTTCTGATTCGAGTCCAGATAACAAGCATGTGATTGTCGCCTCTGCTTCACGTTCAACTTCTGGTATGATTTACATTTATATAATCAATTATTTTTTTATTTTGTTTAATGCCGTATTTTTATGAGTTTTTGACTTTTTTTTTGTTTTATTGTCTGATTTATCCGCTTCTCTCGATTTTGGCCGGTATCCGAGCAAAACGTTACACTAACTTAAAATTATTAATGTTCATTGCTGTTGGTTATACTGTCATTGGTTTTAGTCATTTCTGTGCCTTGTTCTCATATCATCTTAGTTTGGGGATGTGAAATATAGAGAATGGATTCAATACAGATCCGTCTAATGCTCCACTTTTTGTTGCTCATCTAGTTATTAAGCCATCAGTATTCTCATTGGTCGGTCAAAATCAGTGTACAACATAGCATAAATAAATATTTATCTTTAGATGATTTTTTTTTGGGGGGGGGGGGGTTTCGTACAAAAATCTGGTTTTTCAGTGATGTAGTAATCCATTGAGAATGTCTTAACAAGTTGTGATAAAAGCTTAGTCTTAGTCATGTTTTCATGTAGTGAAGTTGCGTTGAAACTAGTTTGAAACTCAGGTCAAGTTGTTAACGTCCTCGAAAGCATCTCCATCAAGCGTGATTTGGTTGGTGCATGTTGTGTTGCATCGGAGAACTTTGCTTTTTCCTTTATGTATGTTGAGACCTACTGCTGCAGAGGCTGCTGCTACACTGGTCGTCTTCTCTTGCATTTGTTGTTGAGTGTGCGATAGAAGAGCCAGGTCATCCGCGAAGTCCAGATCTTCCAGCTGCGTCCTAACTGTCCAGTTGATACCGTGCTTCCCTCCAGACGTCGACGTCTTCATAATCCAGTCGATCACCAGGAGAAAGAGAAAGGGTGAGAGTAAGCAACCTTGCCTGACACCGGTCTTCACCTCAAAAGAGTCTGTCAGCTGACCTCCGTGCACGATTTTGCAGTTGAATCCATCATAAGAATTCCGTATGATGTTGACTATTTTCTCAGGCACACCGTAGTGTCGAAGAAGCCTCCACAGTGTTTTCCTATCCACGCTATCGAATGCTTTCTCGTAGTCGATGAAGTTGATGTAGAGTGGTGAGTTCCATTCAATTGATTGTTCCACAATGATCCGTAATGTAGCAATTTGGTCAGTACACGATCGATCCTTACGAAATCCGGCCTGTTGATCTCGAAGTTGGGCGTCTACGAAGTCCTTCATTGTGTTTAACAATACTCTGTTGAAGACTTTGCCTGGTATTGAAAGAAGAGTGATGCCTCTGTAGTTCTCACACTTGCTCAGGTCGCCTTTCTTTGGTATTTTGATCAGGTATCCTTCTTTCCAATCTGATGGTACTTGTTCCTCATCCCAAATCTTCTTGAAGAGTATGTGAAATATTTTTGCAGTTGCTTCCACATCTGCTTTCATTGCCTCTACTGGAATGTTGTCTGGTCCTGCTGTTTTGCCGCTCTTGATTTGTCTGATGGCTATACTGATCTCCTCAATCGTAGGTGCGCCAATATTAATTGGGAGGCCCTTGGATGCTGCTTCGATGTTAGGTGGGTTCAGTGGAGCTGGTCGATTCAATAGTTCCTAAAAGTGCTCCACCCACCTATTTCGCTGTTGTTCAGTGTTGCTGATTATTTTCCCTTCCTTGCTTTTCACTGGTCGTTCTGGTTTACGATAGTTCCCGGCGAGCTTCTTTGTTGTTTCGTACAATTGTCTCATGTTTCCTTCTCTTGCAGCCTTTTCCGCCGTCATTGCTAGATCTTCCACATATTTTCGTATGTCAGCTCTGATGCTCTTCTTCACTTCCCTGTTTGCTTCTGTGTATTCAGCTTGTGCCTTAACTTTCTCTGCTCTTGTTCGGCTGACATTAATTGCTGCCTTCTTGTTCCTCCTTTCTTCAACTTTTGCAAGAGTATCAACAGAGATCCATTCCTTGTGATGGTGCTTCTTGCGACCAAGGACCTCCTGACATGTTGAAGTGATTGTCTCTTTAATCCCTTTCCAATTGTTCTCCAATGTTGCTTCCTCTCCATTGAGTAGATCCTGAAAGGCCTGGAACCTATTGGTGAGGGCTACCTTGAATTCGTTGAGTTTTACAGTATCCCGAAGAAAGGCCGTATTAAACTTCTGTGATGTTGTCTGCCCTGTTGTCCAGTGCTTCTTTAGCTTCAGTTTCATTTTGGCGATCAGCAAGTGGTGATCTGAAGCTATATCAGCTCCTCTCTTGGTTCTCACATCCTCCATAGTCCTTCTGAACTTTTTGTTGATACAGATATGGTCAATTTGGTTTTGAGTAGTGTGGTCCGGTGATATCCATGTAGCTTTGTGTATGCGTTTGTGCGGGAATATTGTGACACCGATGACCAGTTTGTTGAAGGCACATAGGTTTGCAAATCTCTCACCGTTTTCGTTCCTTTCTCCTAGTCCATGTCGTTCCATGATGTCTTCATATCCAGTGTTGTCCATTCCAACCTTGGCATTCAGGTCTCCCATAAGAATCGTCAAATCCTTTGGTGAACATTTTTCGACGATTGACTACAGCCTTTCGTAGAATTGATCTTTAACGTCGTCATTGTAGTCATTTGATAGGTGCATAACATTGGATGACGTTCATTGTAATTTCCTGTTTCTTTGTTTTGAAGGATGCTTTGATGATCCTCGGTCCATGAGATTCCCATCCTATCGGTGCCTTTTGTGCATGTTTGGACAGCATCAGTGCAACTCCTTGTGTATGTGAAGCATTTTCCTCTTCATGACCAGAGTATAACAGCAGTTCCCCTGAAGCTAGTCTCAGTTGTCCTACCTGTGTCTAATGCGTTTCACTGATGCCGAGCACCTCGAGGTTGTATCTTTTCATTTGTGCCGCAACTTGAAATAGTCTTCCAGTCTCCCACAATGTACGAACGTTCCATGTACCTAAAATAATGGTTGCTCTGGTTGTCAGAAGAGGCATCGGCCCAGTGACTTCCGAGGGAACTCGGCTTTCATCACGAGACGTCATAATTCTTCTTCCAACTCCCAGGGCAGAGTTAAAATGGTTTGAATTATTTTTTCTGGTTGGTTTTTTTGGCAAGTTAGATTTCAACGTGATGGGGTCGCCAACCCCATGTCCAACCCTCTTCCTTTATCCGGGCTTGGGACCGGCAGTAGCCCCGAAGGTTCTACTGACGGAGTTATTGTGGATTTTACTATTATAAATTGGAACAACACATATAAGCGAACAATATTGTTTTCGATTAGATCGTCATCAGGCTTTACTCTAATATACATGAATATTGATATGAAAATGTTAAACCAATCAAGGCAATTTGAGTGATAATCACAATAATCACAAAGAGAATCTTTAAAATTATTATAAATTGGTCGTCGTAAACTTAGAAATTCTGATATCATAACTTTCTGTTTTTATTTTCATTAACTTTTAATCGATTATATTATGTTTCAGAACATATTTATTCAGTCGGTCGAGTATTGGGTGATAGAAGTGTTCTCTACAAATATTTGAATCCTAATCTTATTGCAGTGCTAACTGTCGGTGGTAATATCGACAGACATACGAATACACTGACAATTTATTTAATTGATGTCATAGCTGGCCGAATATTATATAGTGCTTTGCATCGTCGATGTTCTGAACCTATTAGTTTAGTGCATTCAGAGAACTGGATAATTGTAAGTCGAAGGCTTTTTGCTTGTCAGCAATGCATATTATTTTAAATGGTTTTTGTATTTTGACATAGGGTAATGAAATAGTGATAGTACATGTGTATTGACTTGGATGGCTTTGACATGAGTTACATCAGTTAGTAATATGCAACTTGACACATATGTACATCAGTTCAAGTTACTACACAAATCCTATCGTAACAGAAGTGAAAATATCAGTAGTAGTGTAAAAGATTACGTATGGACTATGCGATTCGTAAAAGAATAAAGTTTTGGAATAAATAGTGTAAAGAAATGTAGAAACTTATGACTTAACAAAGGACTTAAATTTAAATACATCTCCATTGTGAATGATTTTGATCCGTGTCACCATAGTTTTCGATTATTGGTTACAATAACCACAGAAAACACCAGCTAAGCCGTTTGTATTAATCAACGCGACTCAGTTTAAAAGCCAGTGAATTCGTTTACTGATACTATGTTTTCTAAAATTCTATGTTATATTATTTCTACAGTCGGTAATTTCCTTATCTAATTTCATCAATTAAAGTATATTTAAGTTACTGAATATGAAATTGTTACATACTAATATAATTCACTAAAATTCATAATGTAGTTTATTACGCAAGTACAAATCTGTGTGCATAGTTTTGGATCATGATTACCTGTTAACAAGCTGATGATGTCTTACCTGGATGTGTAACTGAAGTAATTGTTAAACTGCCGGACCTTACCAGTTTTGAAGGCAGAGAACGTCCTAAACACTGATCCACTAATGATGCATGATAACCGACAGAAATTTGTTTACAATAATGTACAACTTGTTTTAGCATTATATAAATGATTGATGGTTTCATTTTCTTCAAATGAAACTTCAAGTGCTATATATTATTTCAATAATGTTATTTTGTTTGAAATTTTTTTTTGAAATCTGCTGTCTTTTTTTCTCGGTACATTGTTGCAGTAATTTCTTTAAATTTCTTTAAAGTACACCTATTATAATCATAAAACACTACGCAACGAAGCTACTGTTATTGAATTATATGAACCAACTAAATTATCTGGAGAATTATGTGCAAGTCAGTCAATTCCAAGCCCTTGGCAGTTATTTCTCAACAATCTGATCCCTTCATGGTTGTTGTCTAATCCAAGTTCATTAAAAGGTTCCGGTGAATTATCAGGTTTTTCACGTTTCTCATCCTTGTTCCGCGCTAGTGATGTTGATGGTTTTTGCAGTTCAACTGGTGAAAATTCCTTAATACCTCAAGTTCTACAACAGTCATACATACTGAACACTCCACCACGTAGTGGTGCAACAACTGTTTCAATTACTGAGAGAGGAATAACTTCTAAGAATATAATTTGTAAGCTAATGGGTTTTTGTTTTAGTTTTTTGTTTAATATTTACATTATTCTGTTTGCTTTTATGTATACTGTCTCAAACATTAATCAGTGTTATTTGCTATATTCACCAATCAGAGTTCGAGTTATCATTACTCTGCCTCAGCGTATTTTATTCCGTTTGTCTATAGTTGTGTTCTTGGCCTTGACCAACGATGCACTCCAACAAACATAAGGAACCTTGAACAAGAACTAACGTAAGCTTAACGCTTACTGGTCTATCGATTCTCAGCCTTGAATTCAAATAAAAGAAGTGAATGTTCAGCTTTTATTACTGCATTTTAAATACTCAATATATTTCAACCCAAACGTGGTCAAAGTATACCATTCAGACTGCTTTGATGGATTTATCGGCCAATGAAAAATGTGTATAGTTGTAAAGCAATTATTCATGAAAAATAGCAACAAAAGTTACCATAGAATAACAGTTTTGATATATTTAATTAGCCATTTTATGTTGAATCACTTAATGTCATAGCATAAAACAAATAAGTTTACACATTTTGAGTCAAAGTAATGTAGTGAGTTCGAGTTTTAGAGATTTCGTCACCGACTGACATGGAGATTTACTATCCTTGCGTTATTATGCATCAGAAAGTTAAGGATGAAATTTAGGGTTAACTGTTTCGTTAATAAAATATTTAACTACAAAAGCATTCCTAATTATTGCACTGAATCACATTAAAATACACTTACGTACAATGTTTCACTCCTTGTAATTTCGGTCCAGCATTGTGTCACCACCGTAGCTGCTACCCTGCTTGCCTATCGTGATGACCCAACCGAGCTATATTGGCTGGAACATATGTTCCTGAAGGTTCTACCATGTCAGGCAGATCGATTGTAGAACGATGAGACTGAGTCACTCAGTCTGATGCAACGTAGAACTTTGTACGTAAGTACATCAGTTCATGTTGCCATACCACATCAGCACAGAGATATAATTGTCAATTCAAATCCAATAATAGAAGAGGTAGTTAAGGTATTATAAGTAATCGTAGAGGTTAGGATTAGGAGATATTCAAGAAATATGATTCAGTGAGAAAAGTTTAGAAAGTCATAACCGGAGGGGTTGAAGAATCCAGAAGATTAGGATTTGAGAGAACACAGAGAATAAATGCACCGTTGCATTGCGAACGGTTTCGAGTCATGTCAATCAGGGTCTCTAACCATCGATTATCGTCTTGCGGACCACAACCAGGTAGCCTCATCTACCATCATGACTCAGTCCTTTTGTCAGTGACTTCATGGATTTGTGCCATGTTTTGGTCTGGCCGCCGCTAGCTTTCTTCCAACCTACTCCTACACCACAAAACATAGCTCATCGCGGCAGTCGGTGGGTAGGCATACGTAACACATGTCCCAACTACCTCAACTGATGCAGTTTCACTACTTCATCTATTGATCTGCCATACCTACCTAGATCTCGTTTCCTAATAACAGCATTGCTCACTCGGTTGTCCCACGGTATACGAGCAATGCTTCGAAGACAACTATGATAGAAAACCCGTAACCTACGAATATCTTCGGCTTTGAATGTCCATGTTTCACAGCCGTATAGGAGAACGGAGTGAACTACTGCGCAGTAAATTCGTCTTTTAGTTAGCAAACGGATATCTCGCCTACGCCATAAATGACACAACATGGCAAAAGCCAACCGAGCTTTCTGTATCCGTCCCGAGTTTTCGTCAGTCACCAGGCCATCGGCACCGATGAGACTGCCGAGATAAGTGAAGTGGTCTACACGCTGGACTACTTCACTCCCTATCACTATTTCAGGTGTCGATGCAACCCAATCTTGAAGCAACATTTCGCATTTCGAGTGTACGGAACCACCACATGCTTGCATTGTTGCTCAGGGTAGTCAGAAGACTCTGCATTTGTCAGCGTCTTCACCAAATAGAACTATGTCATCGGCATATTAGTCGTCTAATTATAATCGAGGCTAACAAAATAGACACTATATTAGTTAGACCGATTACCCCTCAGATTGTCACAAGAAGACTTTTGTCCTTTCCATCCTTAATAATCTCAGGTGTCAATCTATTTTCACACGTAGCTCGCCCTCGCTTCATATTTCCTATCGCTTTCTCAACTTCATAAGGATTCGGAGGACTTAGGTCGGTTTGCCTTTCATGATGACTGGAGATCGTGGGCAACCGAGGTGTGCCTGAGGGCCAGTTAAACTGATCCCTGAAGTGTTCTGCCAATCGATCCAATCTCCTGGATTTAGCATCCATCAGTTCGGTAGATGCAACTGAAATACACCGATTCTCCCTAACCTTATGGTTTACTTTACTAGAAGATATCACTGCCGATTTCACAGCCTTTTTGATATCATTCCAAGCTCCCGCAAGGTGGGCATCACTTACTACATCGCTGCCTAACTGTCTTTCTAATTGTTCCTGAAATATATTCTTAGCTTTATTATCATTAAGTAGAACCCTAAGAACTTTCCTTGCGATGTCTTTCCTACGTCCAGTAAGCCTCAAACAAATACGCGCTCGCACTAGAGCATTATCTGAATCTAAACATGTGCCCCAGAACGAGCGACAGTCGTCAATCGAACCCCTATGTCGGTGTCAGATAGCGATGTGATCTAGTTGAGTCCAATGTTGAGACGACTTTGTAGGTCGCCAGGTCAAAAGATGTTTTACCTTATGCCTGAAATTAGTGTTTGCTAGGAATTGGCAGTCATATGAGAACAGTTGCAACAGACGGTCTGTTTTGAGAGAAGCGATACTATAACATCCACCTAGGTGTCTTTCCTGATCACTTGGTCTACCTACTTGAGCATTAAATTCACCAGTCATTATTACTACATCAGAGCGCCTAACCTTTTGGCGGAGGTTCGAAAGCTTTCTGTAAAAACTCATTTTTCACCTCGTTTGAAGTGCAGTCGGTGAGGGAACAGGCAGATATGACGATGAGGCAACGGCGAGTGTCCCTATCTTCACGAGTCCTTACTGTCCCGTTTAGTCGGACAGCGCGCAATCGACAATCTACTGGAATCCAATCTAGGAGAGCTAGTTCTGCTCTATGACTCAGTACTATAAGTACGCCAGCGAAACCCCTGGAAGCAGCATCAGGGCTGCCTGGGACAACCGAGTGAGCAATGCTGTCGTTAGGAAACGAGATCTAGGTAGGTATGGCAGATCAATAGATGAAGTAGTGAAACTGCATCAGTTGAGGTAGTTGGGACATGTCTTGCGTATGCCTAACCACCGACTGCCTCGACGAACTTTGTTTTGTGGTGTAGGAGTAGGTTGGAAGAAAGTTAGGGGCGGCCAGACCAAAACATGTCACAAATCCATGAAGTCACTGACTAGTGGACTGAGCCATGTCGGTAATTGTCGACTACCTGGTTGGGGTCCGCGAGATGATAATAATCGATGGTTGGAGACCTTGAATGACATGGCTCAAAATCGTTCGCAATGGCGTAGGTGCATTTATTCTCTGTGTTCTCTCAAATCCTAATCTTCTGGATTCTTCAACACCTCTAGTTTCGACTCTCTAAACTTTTCTCACTGAATCATAATTCTTGAAAAGTATCTTCTAACCCTAACCTCTCCGATTACTTCTAATTTCCTTACTGCCTCTACTAATATGGGATTTGAATTAACAATTACATTTCTGTGCTAATGTGTTATAGCAACATGAACTGATATACTTACGTACGTAGGATGTTCTACGTTGCTATTGATTGATTGATCGTGTCATAATGGCAATATCAAGGTAATCCATAGATGAATAATATGACAGCTAAGATTATTCAAATTTCACAAAAATAGTAATAACCGGATAATCCAAAGCATTTCAATCTATATCACTATTGTTATAACCTCATATCCAAATATAGATTCGTGTACTCAGCTTTGAGTCACAGTTTAAGTGGGAGTTAATTATACTACTCGACTATCTAAACAAAAATAGTTAGTGGGTTTAGTTTACTGAAATCATTATCTTCAATGCATCCAATAATACTATAAATTTAACTGTTAAACTAAATTAGGATTCCTATTCACATTTAACATTTGAAAGAGAATTTAATTACCATATTTTAAGAAATGACCAATAAACTCTGTTTACCACTCACTTCAAAATCAATAAACTTAATTAAACTTACAAAGAAAAGCAAAACTAGACTAACCTACATTAAGTATGCATTAAAAGTACAAATATTGTTAGAATATATATTTCAGAGAACTACTTTTCGTTTCAGAGTTATTGTTAATAACAAACAAACTTATATACATAACTATTAGGGCTGATGTTTAAAGACCGTTAAGTTTTTGTATTATAAGTCACTAATTAATTTCGGCTGGAAAACCTACTATTAAGCATACTGTGGAAGTCACCATATTAATAAGGAATAGAAATCTTAAATGTAATACTCATCTATATTACAGAGAAATAACACCCGACTGATTAAGAATAACCTATTCCATGTAAGTTTTACGCGATACACAATCCATTCCAATTGATGCACGTGGATTTCGGGTGAATTTATAACATTATTCTGCAAATTCTCGACATTTTGAAATGAATAATTTACAAAAGAATAGTGTGTTAGAAAGCAGCTTTGTGGATTATTTTATTATGAACGAATTTATCGTATACCATATTTGGAGAAGTAGCAACAGCTTTCTTCCGACAAAAACTCATCATCATTACCACCTCATTGCAACGTCGGGACCGATTTAGTCGAAATGCTCTTGTTACAGAGAAGTAGAAGTTAATAGTTGTTAATCCTTCTGTTAATCTCCAACCGGTTGCAGTTAAACCCAGAAGATAATGGTAGAATAACACAACATCAAGTTCTAGATTCCTGTCGACTAATTTCAAATATATTAAAAATGTATCATGGAAAGAAATGGCAAGTCAATGAAATTACATAAAACCCCAGAAATAAATTGATACTACCTAACTAAGAGTCAGATCTACATATAAGACTTCGATTACTTTTGCAATAACCGATTAGCGTAAAACTATAGGCTCACCGATTCGATTGTTCCATGATAACCAGCAAGGGTGAAATGACGAGGTGGTAGTTCTTTGGATAATTCACCAGATTCTAAATCATAGATGTTTAGAGCCAAACTTTCAAAGTCCTATAGTGATAAATAATTGAATAAGTATTGATTGAAATTACCAACAAAAAACATATCCTAAGAATTTAGATAGAGTTTTACGTGAACGGTATAAACAAACTAAAGCGATGAAGAGACCTGTATGTACGCTTATGCTAACAAGAAAAGGGTACTCATTGCCTTTTATTTACAACAAATAGTAACCACTTTTAGATATGAAAATTGATTTCCCAGATGAACTGTTTACCCCGTTTATTTAATTTATTACTGTCTGTATTGAAATTCGCATTATAAATTTAATTAAATCATTCGCCAGGTATGCACCACTCTAATTGTAAAGTTTATTTACTGCGAATTTCTATATTAATATAAGATAGTGCAAAGACATCAGAAATAGAACGGTCAATATCAGCTACAGTACATCGTAAGCTTATAGTTAGACTACTGTTATCCTCGTCCCTTGATATGCTTGAAATAATTACGGGTTCACCTTAGTTGATAAAAGAGAACGAACAAAAAAATTGTGTGACCTTGAACGGCTTGGCTCGAAATTGTTTGCAGTAGCGCTGGTGAGTACACTCTTTCTGTTCTTCAAATCCTAATCTTCTGGATTCGTTAACACCTCTACTTTTGTCTTACTATCCTTATCTTACAGAATTAGACTTCTTGAATAATATCTTCAAATCCTAATCTTCGCCATAACATCTATCATCTCTACCACTGTCGGGTCTAAATTGACATTTGCATCCCAGCGCTAATGTGGCATGGCAACCTTAACTGATATACCCACGTAGGAAGTTCTACGTATTAACTGACTGGCTAACCACCATTGTGTCGTATTTGATTGGACAATATACGTTTTATCAATTCCAAGTAGTTTAAAAACCAAATATTGTCAATTTTCACCTAAAGCTTACACGCCATCTTTCAGTTCTTCGATTTCGCGCAAAATTGTATGAGTCGCTATTTCAATTTTGTGTCACATAAGGCTCTCTGTATACTATTCTTCATATAATAAAAATATCAATGACGATAATATTCTATAAATTAATCTCAAGAGTAATATACCTTCAATATTCTCCTTTGTCACAACTGTTATAGAATATTTTTCACAATGTACCTTTACTCATACTTGTTGTTACGTCTCAATTTCGCCGATCGCTTGTCCTAGTCAGTAGCTGAATCTCCATTGGCTCACGAATCTCTAGCTTCTTCATGTCCTGCTCTTGAGTTCAAAAGTTATTAACGAACATCTACAGCATCTGTATTGCAAGTAGATGTAGTTTGTGTACGAATAGACCAAGCCACATCATAAAACAACAATATTACTTAGGACTTGCCTTACCCAGCTCCACATGGCTGTGAAGGTAGATGACGCGAGTTGAGTTTTAGGATTAGACTTTCCTTCAGTTAACACATCCTTCGCCTTTTTTTCAAATATATTTCAAAATATCTTTATCATACCTATCTGATGGTGTTTATGCAAGTGAATATAAACTTGGTACCTTGTGCCCACTCTGAATTTGAGATGACTTAGTTGCAAAGCCTTCATTTTCTTTCTAGGCGACATTATCCGCGCTTAATTCAAGTAGAGAAATATTCAGGGTGTATTTCGAACATTCTCAGTTTCCATCTTGGCGATGGATGCGCACCAACCACTGTAAGGGGTAAAGTCTAGAATAAAACTGCTGTGTTTAGTAATTCCTTGTTTCCAATGATTGTCTGACTGTAAACAAGTTAGTCACGACTCTGAATCAATAGTTCAAAAAATCTTTACAAAATCTCATGTGCTAACATTTTTATTTATTCAGCTTAATCATGTCCGAAAATTTGCTTTCAATTTTTCAGTGGCCTTACAGAGAAATAGTCTGATTGAACTACCAAAATCCTTTTTTGATCCTCGTCGTAGTTTAGATATGACTTCTGAACTAATGTAAGTCGTCACCATTGAAAGAGAGAGATAACGATTTGCATATTAATTTTATATTTATTATGGTTAATCGTTTTTCTTATGTACTTTCTATTAAGTGTTCACAGGTTTGACTTCGGTTATAGTTTTTTGATGGAAAGTGTCTGTGTAACGTATGAAATTTAGGTACTTTATTTATTGATTCGAACACTTCAGCACAGGGGAGCACTTAACTATGAATGCGCCACGCAAATCACTGAAATTGTATGTGCGGGTGGTGTTGCTTCGGTGTCCAAATCGAAGTAGGAAGTTTGCTTAGGGGTCCAGTCCTCGAGCCTTTGACCTAGAAGTCTAATCCACATAACAATGGAGTAACGTTAGGAGATGCGATCACATGGTAGCCGGTGACCGAAAATAAGGTCTTACAGCACTTTTTACTCTCTGGGTTGTAGAGCTCATGTGCGTGCGCTATTGGTTCGGAATCAGGATTTTCCAGCTCTATGTGGATCCTCTGATATTTAAATAGGAGCTGCCTATTCGAATACTGAAGTAGTGAATAGTCCACCATATCTGTTGTACATAAAACGGAATCGATGGTCGTATTTTAATTACTGTGCTATCAATTGTGTTGTAACTTCCTAATAAACTAAACTATGCACGGGGTAGTCTAAATTGTTCTTAAGTGAATGTGGGAGACTTCCACATCGTGGAAGGATATTCCTCTTGGACTCCCTAGAAAGGAATTCGGTGTGATAATAGTCTTCAAGACCTCAGTAGCTGAGCGGAATTCTCCGAATTACGTAATCAGAGTTGCTTACGAGAATGTCTGTTGAAGATAATGCGTAGACAGTACCTGGCCTCCAATAATACAGCGTAGAAATTAAAGTCTTTTCGTAGTGAATCCGGCTGAAAAACTAACTGCTGTCGTCTTTTACTAACTTATTGTTATGTTGCTTCATAATAATCCTTGTTCGTGCCTAGTTTAGAATTGGTCATGTACTTCATATTGAAGCGTCTTATTCATTTCTTTCTTACGCTATCACCTGATTATTGTTTGTAGCTACCCGTTATCTAAGTAGGTAGTGAGCACCTGTTCTTGCTTTTTCTTCTCAAACTGGTCACAATTCATTAACAACGTAACAATACGAGAGTAAACGTCAATTTTAACCATAATTTTTTCGAAATTACTTATATATCAAAACATTTCAGGGAAGAAGGTGTTCACCCTTATGCTCCTGTGCTACCGTTTTCTGATCAAGCTATAATTACATATAATCAATCAGTTATGCGAATCCGAGCTATTCGTGCATCGCCCACTGGTTTAGAGTCTACTGGATTAGTATTTGCATATGGACTGGGTAAGAGCGAAGTATATTCATCTATTCTCAGCAATTTGGTAACTTTTTCCTGTTATTTCTATACTAATCGTCTTCCACATATTTTATACTCCTCCGGGCGACACTCCTGCATATTATTTGTAAGCGACGTTGCGATTAGTATACGCCACAGTAGTATGCCATTGTGTTTTACATTAACGCAACGCTAACTTGTGTGTAATGGTTGAACCAATTCAGCGGAACATAAATTAAACACAACTTCATACTCCTTATTCCACTTTACATACATAATCTGAAGACATTCCAACTGCAATATTGAATGTGAACTTTCTGTCGGTTTTCCATAAATCCTACCTGTCGCTCTAAAATTAGCCCCATTGCACACTACTGACAACTATTAATGATGATTCAAGCTCAAATACTCATTAACTAAATCATGCTTTACTGCATACGTGCTTCTCATTCTGATTCATCTTATTAAATATCATCTTGTTCTCCATATTTCAGATCTATTTTTCACTCGAATATCACCTTCGCAAACATATGATTTACTCAAAGAAGATTTTGATTATACTGCAATAGCCACTGTCACATTAGGAATGATAATTGCATCGATTGTGTCGTGTCGTTTGGCTACTAGACGAGCAGTTCTTAGAGCATGGGCATAATTAATTTATAAATAGATTTATGTGATGATTATTTTCTTTTTGTATGTCAATGAAAATAGTTGTGTTAATCTAAGTATACCTTATTTGACCTTGGTAATTTTTATTTACATTTGTAATGTTTTATACTTTTTTTCAATGTATACGTACGAATAAATATATTTGTATTCATACGAATTCACTTATGTCAACAGTTTATTTTAAAACTCTATTTAATTGAGTGTTACATCCGTGTATGCATTTATAACGTCTGTTGTGTGCCAATATTGAAGATGAATCTAAACGACTTACTTGCATCAACTTTAGGAAGTTCATATTTGTGTTTATGTACAAAACCTAACAAATTTAGATTTTCAAGGACATTTTCAACTTTAAAATAAACTTAAGTGTATCCTAAAATACAACTCACCAATTATTTATAGTTTGCTGAATAGTCTGTGAAACACGTGTTCATTATGTGTAGACTATTTTTATCATCCTCTGTCCATATCTTTTTTCACTGTGTTTTACATGATATCGGAACAAATAGCCTTATGATGATACAACCTTCAAACTCTATCTAAACTTACTATTTCATAATATCTTTAATATGGTGTCTCAGAAAACGCCGTTCGTAAATTAAAGTACAACGATTCCCTAATGGAAAACAGATCATTTATGAAATAAATTATCATTTGAAAGTGTAATAAGCCTAATTAACAAACGGAATAACTATCTTTCAGAGATGAATTTACAATCAAATAATTCAACTTTCTGACTCGTAAAGTTATGACTAATCGGTAATAATGAATGAAGTAACATAATCTTAAATTTGCAGTTCTCGCTTAGCTCATTTTTTCACCAGGTTGATTAAATGAATAAAACATAGGTCCATATCTATTGTCAGCTTTTTTCATTGAGATAAAACACGTAATTGGTATTTTGTACCGATATAAGAACATTCACCTACGCAAATGCAATAAAACGAAGATATTTTATTCCAGAAAGAATTCGTATTCTGCATACAAGTTTTTTCAGTTGTTTGATTTTGTAACATGACATTCAAAGCATTTGACGAAAAAGGGCTGTCCATTAAAACGTCAGTTCGTTAAGTAACAGTCGACAATTCATCCTCTAATCTTCAAGTCTTTAACCAAATGTCCGTCAAACATTCCATTTGGAAAGTAGGTCGAAAGTACAGTGAAGAAATTATTTCTTATCTTATCCTTACCTGAAACGTCAAGCTTATGTTTATGACATTAATTTTTTCCCAATCGAAACTAATTTACTCTGATATTTGCGCTTAGTAAGTCTCTCTTTTCTTACCGAAATATCTAACGCCTGAAAGTACCAGTGATGTTAATCAGTATTGTAGATAATTCTCATCTTGGAAATTTCATGACTAATATTCAGTGAATATGTGTTGGCACCTTGAAACATATTTGATAGCCTAAAGGTTAAATTTTCACACTGTATTCTATACGTTTAACCGCAGGTTACTAATGCTGATCGAAAATTACCGTTTGTGATCAGATAACCTTTAAGTATAACCATAATAGACAATTATAGTTGCTAAGGTAAGTATTATTTTACAACCCAATAACGTCTAATTAACACGGTTATTTACCAGCGATCGAAGGATGCGTGATTGGCTACTAAAATACAATGAATTATCCAAGATTAGAGATAGGTTATGGTTACAGATTGTACGCCATACAACTATATTTATTCAGTTTTTTAGAATGGGTAACAGTCAGTCAACTACAGCATTAAAATCTCCAACATGTAGATCAGGTTGCGGTTTCAGGAGACCAGGAATCATCTTTCGTGGACTGGAAACGTTTGCATCAGTGACGCGAAGTGACAAATGATTGAATGAAGGGTTTGTCATGGAGATAGGACTTTTGAGGAACCCGAAGATGGAATCGGATTAACGTTGGTCTTCGAGAGCTTGGAGCGTGACATCAGAGCCCAAGGGACAACTGCTTCAAGCCAGTCACAGAAGGCCTTTTCATGGGAAGTTTGTAAAGCTCCGTTCTTTAAGTGACGTTTTTCTAACCCCCTCCTTCCTTATGAGAAGGTTGCATCATTGTAGATGCTGGTTGTCCGAGGGAAACACCTTACTGCTGTCACACCTCTGCAGTCGGCAGCACGACTTTACCTACAGACCTGGTGTATCTGTTTTTAGTCTCATCGTTCTCCAATCGACCTGCCTGACATAGTACAACATATGTTCCAGCCAATATAGCTCTGTTGGGTCATCACGATATTCATGCACGGCCACCACGCCAAGGTAGCAGACACTGTACGATTTAATCATTATACTAAATACCAAAAAGGCGGTTCAGCTTACTGATATCGGTTAAAAGTGTCGGTGCATTAAATTTTCTTCATAGCACCTGTTTGAAACGACCACAAAAGTACTTATCTAAAAAATAGTTCACCCAGACCGTTGAGTGATCAGAATACGTAATAAGGCGAATAGGAAAAATTGGATATTTCTATACCAACTGAAGACTAACTTTGAAGCGATGTCTAACTTGAACAGATTCAGAAATACATAGTCTATGCATATGTATAAAGTCTCAAACATTACTTTGTAGAGATCTATGTGTTTTTACATGTAAATAACGTGAAAGGGATTGGGCTGGTATACTTTGTTATACGTATTTAAGTATGGTTTAATAAAGCATGGAAAAGTTTGAGTAATGAGAATCTTAGAAGATCAAGGATTATAAGCCTTGGTAAACTTATCTTTCATCTTCTCTTGATTGTTCTTCAAGACATTCAGCAGCACATAAGAGTTTTCCAATAGCTACAAAGTCCAAATATATTTTGATTACACAGTACTTTCGAGTAGGCTTGTTGGGATTCAGCAATTGCTCTATCATACGAATTTCGAATAACTAGCTTTTTGCTTAGTGAATCATTAATTTTTGAAAGTTTCTCTGAAATAATTCTCATGTCGTGTTGGAGACGGTTTTTTTCATCATCTTCCTCAATAATTGCTTTTTGTAGTTGATCTCTCTTCTGACATAAGTCTTCTATCACTTAACTATATTGAAAGTTCAGCAAATTGACTTTACGTTTTATAAGTTCGGTGTTGTGTTGCTGTAGGATTTGTGCATCTTGTGTCATTTTCAAAATTCAGTTGATTTCGGTGCTAGGATACGAAACTCCAATATTCAATAACTGTGTATCACGACCTAGTACAAGCCTTGTGATTTTTTGCACCTGATTCTTGTTTTTCGGTACGGTTACATGTATTGAGTAGTGTCTGATAAGTCGTAATTTAGCAATTCGATTGCACTGATACTAGCCAGGTAGTAGTTTTGAACTCCTATGTTCGTGCTCCGAATCCAATATCTTTCTCACGAACCGGTATAAAACAATTGATTTCTTTGCACTCTACTCTTGTTCTTTCGGTTCGGCTCCAGGTGTTTGGTAGAGTCCAATAAATGGAGGTTTAGCCACTCGACTGTCTAATTTAGTCAGTTGACAGTCGGTTGTGAGTTTGTATGTCTCGTGATTTAAATGAAAACGTTTGTTTCAGGACAGTAGGGTTTCTGGATACCAGCAGCCGTCACATTACCAGACCGGAGATCAGTTAATTGCAATGTGAAGAGTAATAAGGATACTAAGGATAAAATTCTAATGCTAATATGAATAAAATTTCAGAACTCAGTAATATATAAATGATTTAGTTTATGAATTGGTAGTCGAGAGAGGACCGAGAAGTAAGCAAGGGAGAGGAAACAGAGATAATAGGCGGGATAGATTAATTAAGTGATCCAAGGAGATGGCAACGAACAGGTCTCAAGATATGCATCATGAACATTTTGTCCAAGAGGGAGATGATAATCCGTATGTGAGTACGTGATTATCGTCTCTTCTTAAAGCAGTCCACTGAGGGGTTTGTGGTCACCTCGTCTGGGAGAACATTCCAAGTCGCAACGACTCTCAATGAGAAAACGTGTGAAGGAATCCGAGTATTCACTCTTTGATGTGCTATTTTTCGAAGATTCCATCGAAGGGAGTGGTGATGATGCATCATCGGTTAAATGCTCACGTTGGTATGGTTTAGCGTACCTAATATGTTGCACGCCATAATCAGATCACCTGTAACTCAGGTGGCGGTTGGACTTAACGTCACTTATTCCCCTTTGCCTTGGATACTCTTCGGAGTAATTGTGACCTGGAAAGTGCATCAACTCCAGGTATTGCTTTGTATTTCCATATTTTAATATAATATAGACCGTTTTCTCCTAGAATTGTTGTGTTTTCTGGACATTGGACTGATAGATACGCGTTCAGATTGCACTTATTGGAAACCATTTGAACTGCTACGGTAGAAAATCCATTTTTAGCCATGTTGAGCTTTATGGAGTAGTTTATTCTTATCCATGTACTCTCTCAGTTGTTCGTCCACCAGACCTTCCATTACTTTTGATAGTATTGGTAGTAGTGCGATTGGCTTGTAACAGACTGGGTCCTTCCTATCTCCTCTTTTGAAGATTGGAGAAAGAGAGAATAGCTTGTTTCCATTCAGCTGGGAATTGGTGTGACTCCAGTGAATGCCTGAACAGGTCGCATATCGGTGAACAGAGGACGTCTGCACATTGTTGCAAGACTATGGGGCGGATTTTGTCACAACCTGATGACTTACCTGGGCGTAAGTATTTTAGTTTCCCTAATACTAAGTCAGGAGTGTTACGGATGTTCCCGAAACCGTCATCTGGCAATGGGTTGGCGTAGTACTCTGAACATGTAGGCGCCTGGTTCAATTGATCAGAAAAATGGGTGTTGAAGATCTCGGCCATCTCTAGGTTGGCGAGGTCTTCCTCGTTTGGTCGTTTTAGAGAACATAACCCTTGATTAGTAGGTTTTATTTTGGACATGAACCTAAACAGATTTTTTGGGTTTGCCTCTATTGGTAGCTAACTTCATCTCCTGTCACTTCGAACTTTGGTATTGCATCTGTTTCTCAATCACAAGTAAGAACTGTGATCGGAATCTTTCCAGGA